TGGCTCTCGTGTTTACCTCCCAGGGGGTACGGCGCCTCTCTTTATTGAGGGGATACGGCGGGAAAGGTTGGTAATTTATTTTATTTTTTCCCCGGGGGTAAGTTTAGTGTAGTGGTTAGACGCTATGAAAAAATGCACTAAAATCTAAAAGTAAAAAAATAAATAAAAAATGCTTAAAAATTACAAAAATTACAACAAAATGCTTAAAAATAATAAAAAAACTGATTAAACAAAAACCTAAAATAACTTCTGCTAAATAAACCAAAGTTGCTCTGCATTATTGTCAACTTGGCTCACTTGCTTGATAAACTAGAACTAAAGCCTGAACAACTATACTAAAACAGTCGGAACTACGAGCCCTCATCCTTCACATTTAGGATAACAAACTTAGGTCAAGATTCACCAATATTCCATACACAAAATTTACCCACAAACTGGTACTAATTTAACATATTTACCTAAGAAGTCTCGGTATAATTTCAATGTTTTGGGTTAAGTCAATTCGGTATAGGTGAATTTTTACGTCTCTAGCTACGAAGAAAATTCAACGTAGGAATCTTTTTTTTTTTTCAGAATATGCCTGCTGACTTGATCGAGTTAAGTGAGTTTCCTTCGGTGGTCAGAAAAGTTTTAGTATCGTATCTCCTATATAAAGTCCTGGGAGCGGGTAGGAGCGAGGAGGGGATTCCTACGTTACTGAGATCGCTTAAACTTTATCCACATTTATCCGTCGCCTCGTTTTAGTTTGCAGAATATATGTTTATTCGTTTTTACTGTTTATATGGTTAGTTTCCGTGTGGTAACTTCGCTGTACACATCAAACCTTCACCCAAACTGTACGAGAGAGCAGCGGCCTTTAGTGATATACAGGTGGTCCATTGTTTACAACACACGGCCCACTAAGACATAGTAGCTGGAAGGAAACACACAATCATGACCAAACACCTTCTGTATCACCTAACGAGTAGACCATTTTTTTTTTGGGCGGCGTCATTAACACTTATGAGGTACCGAGTGAAGGCAACTCCTGAGACGAATACAACTGAAAACGGCTGCTGCTTGACTTCACACCAACACCGGGGAAGAAACACGAGGAGAGCAAAGCCTATCGTGTTGGGGGGTGTGAGAGGGGAGGGGTGGGGGGCTTGTTAGGGGGAAGGGGAGAGGGTGGGGGGGGGCTTGTTAGGGGCGAATGTGGACTCTTCACAACACCAACTCGGAGACAGACACAGACATCACAAATTCATTACTACGCTGTCATCATTTTAATGCCCCCCAATGAAGATCCTGCAGGACACCAGGAGAAGGAGTGAGTACCAATATAACCTCAGCCAAGATCCTATAGGACATCATACATCGGCCAGTGAAGAAGGAATTAGGCCACACGATCCTCCACCTGAAGAAACACGAGTCAGTGGAGGATTATAATGACCCCCCCAGACACCATCCATCTCTCTCTCTCTCTCTCTCTCTCTCTCTCTCTCTCTCTCTCTCTCTCTCACAGAAGAAAAGTTACCACCAACTCCCTCCAACTTAGTTCCTCCTCAGATCATAACTCACAAGATGAATGGCCAAGGGAGGAAACTCATTCACTCATTTAGAAGCAAGGATAAAGAGATCAAGAAAAGCTTCCATAGAGTGAAAACCTTTATTTAACGAACTCTATGGAGAGGAAATTCCCTTAATATCGAGGGGTTAAGTTATTTCGTTAAGGGACTAAGATACCGTCCTCGAGGGGTTTAAGAAGATCTTTGGCAGTAAAAAAAATGACACTCAACAAAATCATTAGTTTCCTCCGCTAGGTAGTGACTCCCCAGGGGCGCCTCACTCTCGGCCCATGTTTCCCACGACGGTCCTAAGCTCCCAGATAAGTTGAGCCGCAGAGGATCTTATCAATAATGGCCAATTTCCGACGAAGACAACAGCGTTCTCTCTGACTGAGGCATCGCCGCGCTCCAGGTGATGACATTCAGGATACTGCCAAGTCTTCTCGAGTCTCACAGCTCAAAAGATTGGCTGACTTCTTGACTTATTACTTTTGTGACCGACTTGGTGTCCTTGTCTGTGGCTGTGTTGATCGATGTTTATTATTGTTATTATTTTTTTATTATTATTACTATCATTATTATTATTATTATTATTATTACTATCATTATTATTATTATTATTATTATTATTATTATTATTATTATTATTATTATTATTATTTTCTCTTAGCATCCAGCGTTGTCTGAGTATAAGTACACCATAATGAAAAACGCACAGTTGCAGAATTGTGTTCCTACATTGATGTGGTAAACCGTGTCTCCAAATGGCAATGTTGCAGTACAGTAGTTGTATCACTGTTTATGAATGAATTGGTATTGATTGTGTAACGACGGACGTGATTGGTGAATAGGTTCGTTACAGGTCATATAGGTTGGCTGTTTGGAGACACGGGTTTACCACAGGGGGTGAAGGAACACATTTCAGCAACTGTACATCTACACTGACGTACATAAATCCATTGTACTTATTATGTCATCCGTACAGGGTGTAGAAGCTGCCACCAACACAACATCTGTAGAAGCTGCCACCAACACAACATCTGTAGAAGCTGCCACCAACACAACATCTGTAGAAGCATCCACCAACACAACATCTGTAGAAGCATCCACCAACACAACATCTGTAGAAGCAGCCACCAACACAACATCTGTAGAAGCATCCACCAACACAACATCTGTAGAAGCTACCAACACAACACATCTGTAGAAGTGCCACCAACATACAACAGATCACAGTAGAAGCTGCCATCAACACAACATCTGTAGAAGCTGCCACCAACACAACATCTGTAGAAGCTGCCACCAACACAACATCTGCAGAAGCAGTCACCAACACAACATCCGTAGAAGCTGCCACCAACACAACATCTGTAGTGAAGCTGCCACCAACACAACACTGTAAGCAGCCACCAACACAACATCTGTAGAAGCATCCACCAACACAACATCTGTAGAAGCATCCACCAACACAACATCTGTAGAAGCATCCACCAACAACATCTGTAGAAGCATCCACCAACACAACATCTGTAGAAGCCACCAACACAACATCCAGAAGCATCCAAACACAACATCTGTAGAAGCATCCACCAACACAACATCTGTAGAAGCTGCCACCAACACAACATCTGTAGAAGCAGCCACCAACACAACATCTGTAGAAGCATCCACCAACACAACATCTGTAGAAGCATCACACCAACACAACATCTGTAGAAGCATCCACCAACACAACATCTGTAGAAGCTGCCACCAACACAACATCTTCACCTTAACGTCGTGTACATCCCAGTGTGAAGGAACAACTGAGTGAGAGAAAATTGCCTAGAGACCATGAAGCATTTATTCGTTAGTCAGGGAAAATCGATGATGGTGCCGTGACGAATTTCCATTTTTTTAAGGTGATGTCGGTGGGGGGGGGGGTTTGTTTGGGTTATAGGTCAAGAAGGAGAAGGTGTGGTAGAGAGGTGTAAGAGAAGTGTAGGTTAGAGAAAAGTTACTATTTTTGTAAGGCAGTGGTTCTCTTGTGCTAGGTGATGATAAGGCATTTTCAGCCATATTAAGCTAATGATCAGCACCCAACCCTCATTTCCTCCTTCCCTCCTTCTCTTCTTCCTTCCCTCCTTCCCGTCCCTCACTCCTTCCCTCAGTCCTCCCTTCCCCCTTAACACACACACACACGTTCAGCCACCGGCAATAATATTAAGCAGGTCCTCAATGTGTGGCGCGTGTCTGTGTGTATGAAGGCGTTCCGCAGAGGTGTTCTAACAGACAGGCGGACAGAGAAGACAGTAAGTGACAGAGAAACCGAAAAGCGGAGAGAAAAGCAGGGAGAGAGAGCGGAGGGAGGTAAAAAGACTGACAGAAAGAGACAGTAAAAATATTGAAAGAAAAGGAAAGTAGAGAGAGAGAGAGAGAGAGTAAAGAGAGAGAGAGAGAGAGAGAGAGAGAGAGAGAGAGAGAGAGAGAGAGAGAGAGAGAGAGAGAGAGCTTCAATGCCAACGAACAATTACAAAAAGTCAGGCAATAAATTTCTATACTCAATGAACAATCTACCTTCACATTTTAAACAATTAAGATACACACACACACACACACACACACACACACACACACACACACACACACACACACACACGGAATTAGTGGCTTCTTGGTATTAATTTTAGTAAAGAATTTCCTTCCATTTTTTTTGTGTGTGTGGAGATAACCTGGCCATAAAGACTTGTTTATCTGAGCACTGAGTGTGTCCTTAAGACTTAAAGAGATGTTCCCATCACTATGACGCACCTTGTGATTACATAAATGATCATCCTGGTTTCAAACATTTATTTTGAAGACAATTAATAAAATTACGGCGAAAAGGAAGGTATGTGTGTGTGTGTGTGTGTGTGTGGACAGTGGAAAGTTTTGGAATTTCATAAAGATTTTCTTGTGTGTCAGTACCAGGAACCGAGCTGACCAGTCCGAGATAGTTATTGACTTTTTTATTGCTCTCTACACTGACCCTCCACTGTGGTAACTTAGAGGAGAGTTCATGGTGGTGTGTGTTAATTATACAGTACATTAAACTTACCTGGTGTATATCCGGTGGACCTTAGCTTCTCTCTGTGAGGTAGTGAGGAACTTCACCCTTGTAGATGGAGCTGTTTATACTCTGGTCATGGTTGGTGTTGACGCGGGTGGTGGTGTTGACACCTGTGGTAGTGGTGTTGATACTTGTGGTGGTTTTGACAGTTTTGGTGGTGTTGATGTGTGTGGTGGTGTTGACACTTGTGGTGGTGTTACTTGTGATGGTGGTGTTGACACGTGTGGTGGTGTTGACACTGGTGGTGGTGTTGACACTGGTGGTGGTGTTGACACTGGTGGTGGTGTTGACACGTGTGGTGGTGTTGACACTGGTGGTGGTGTTGACACTGGTGGTGGTGTTGACACTGGTGGTGGTGTTGACACGTGTGGTGGTGTTGACACTTAGGAGGTAGTGAGTCCAGCTGGGTCTGTTGTCACCAATTACATGTACAATTATTTCTTCATATTCCAGTTACTTGTGTAGACGTTGACTGAGGAGGAAATTAGGTCCATGTATTCCTCTCTCACTGGTATAAACTTTCAGTATTTTTGTCGGGACAATAATGTATACAGTAGATATAGTATTTTGAATAGTTCTTTCTCACTCATATGAACTTTCCAGAGATTTGTTGCATGAACGCGTTGTGTTGCTTTGAGTTGAGTGACATTGATACCTTGCCTGATCCTCGCTGTATCGGAAGAGGTTAAGGAAGTGTTGATGGATCATTTATATGTCAAGACTACACTTGTACTTGTCATCCCTCTTTGATGCGGATAAAGAACTCAATTGTTTGTTTAGAAATACTTATAAAGTTCTAAAAGTAGACGATGACTCACAAAACACTGGGGTGTAGTGCGACCTGGAGGTGGTTAGGATGTGTTGGCTGACGTCCGTAGGAGCTGCCTCTCATCTTTACTCTTGTAACAAAGGTTAAACACCATAAGTTTATGTATACGAACTTATAAATTCACTTTTGTAAGCAAGATGAAACACAAGTTTATTTATGTAGTCTTGTCAACTTCAAATAAAAATCGACACAGTGCTCCAAGAGTTGGGTTTTGTGCTGGCCAGTGGCAACTACTGCAAGTCAGAAACACTACTAATCTTGTCTTTACTCAGGTCGCAATACAGTAAACTAGGCAAGATGTGACGCCTAACACTAGCAGATCAACAACGTCTAGAAATGAATCTCTAAATCATGGAGGTAAGACGTTACTTGACAACTCACACTCCACACACATAGTCTTCCTCGCATCTCACTGTACGAGGAACACCAAACATTGTAAGTCAAGACGTTTTTCAACACTTCCTCCTCTGTCACACATCTTAGCCTTCACCAGCCACCAACATCTGCACTTTACCCAAAACTTGTACATTCCGCTCTTATTGTTCTGCGACTTATTAATTTAACATCTTGTTTTTCTGTTTCACTTACTAAAAACTCCATAGAATTGCCGTAGAAAATTATATAGCGGCATTGAAGGACTAGTATCTATTAACTAGTTCAAACATTAAAGAATAAATAGCAACTACTAGAAGTGTGTCCCCAAGATTTTTTTTATTTTTATTTACACTGTAAACTAGATGTTAGTTCACTAAGTCACGAGTGAAGTGTTTAATCCACCACTACGACCCGGATCAAGGAGGAGGGGTTAAGATATACATTTTATTTTCACGTGCGGATATTTTGGTCAGGAGTAATAGGTAGGTGAGACGACGGGTGAGGCACAGACTGGAGTGGCCGGGACGAGGGAGCGAGCAGCGGCAGAGGCAGCCTGGAGAGAGAGGTGCTCTGGTAGCTCGCCGCCGGTCCACCGCTGACTGGCCGACGACTGCACAGTGCACACCAAACACACACACACACACACCCAGACCTGCTGCACCTTTACATGCGCACCTCTCTCTCTCTCTCTCTCTTCCTTTTTTACTCATTTATTAATTTTCACAACCTCTTTCTTTGTTTACTTCTATTTTATTTTGCTAATTTCTCTATCTGTTATTACCACAATACAACCCTAATTGTCCTCACTCTTATCGGGCCCAAGTCCCAATAGACCCGATTAATTTAACCTAATCAGTAGGAGTGGGTCCCAGTACTAATCAGCCAATAGTTTGGTTATGTTTGGGGCTTATTGGGACTACTGGGGCCTATTATGACGTGTTTCTCTCTTGTGGGTCTTCGTGCTTGTGGGTTAACGCTACTAGACAATAGAAGGTATAGCAACAACTCCACAAAACACGGAGAGAAACAATTGGGTTATGGAGTCCATGTTAGTCTTATTAGGATTCGTTTCATCTTTATCGGAGTTAATCTCAGCCATGCAGGACAGAGAGACACACCAGCCATGCAGGACAGAGAGACACACCAGCCATGCAGGACAGAGAGACACACCAGCCATGCAGGACAGAGAGAGACACACCAGCCATGCAGGACAGACAGACACACCAGCCATGCAGGACAGACAGACACACCAGCCATGCAGGACAGAGAGACACACCAGCCATGACACACACCAGCCATGCAGGACAGAGAGACACACCAGCCATGCAGGACAGACAGACACACCAGCCATGCAGGACAGACAGACACACCAGCCATGCAGGACAGAGAGACACACCAGCCATGCAGGACAGAGAGACACACCAGCCATGCAGGACAGAGAGACACACCAGCCATGCAGGACAGAGAGAGACACCAGCCATGCAGGACAGACAGACACACCAGCCATGCAGGACAGACAGTATATCTCCAGCTACGTCACCCTGGTCACCTAGTGAGAGTAATATTCAATGTATTGTTAGAATCAGAACTGTTCTTGGCTGCTAAAAAGATTCTATTACGGGTCAGAGTGTCATCGCCTTTATCTAACATGAAGGTGCAGTCCCATAGTTCTGACGGCCCGTTATAGGTTGTGTGAGTACGGTACACTACATACTAAGCCCGCTACTGGGTGAACTAAGGGTGATCTTGGCCCAAGTGACTCTTATGGACAGGGGGCAAGAGCTTTATCCAGTCACTTTTACATATTTTTAAGTTAAGAAAAAAAAATTGCTGGTTTGTTGTAAATCCATGTTGGTTTATTATCTGTGCATTTATACAAAACACACCTACTGTATTAGTAAAAAGTTACACTCACATAAAACAAGGCCATGTGAACACTTTGCTCTACTGTGGTAAACATGACAGCACAGAGTTCCTTGTCAACCACTGGCTTCACTCACTCCATCATTAATACCGTAGGCTTATTAAGAGGTACTGGCATAAAACATAGATACACTAAAAAAAATGGCAGAAAGTGGTTCATTATCCAGCAGATAGTTTTAAATTCCTCCGTGATGTTCTAATGGAGTTTGATGTCGATGTCAAGTTGGCCTAAGGCGCGACGGTTCATCCTAGGCAAGATGTTGTCAGCCCAGGCACGACATTTCACCTTGACATCCACCTCAACTGTAAAACACACACAGGTAAGAGAAGTTAGAGATGAATATGGAGAGAGAGAGAGTCAGTAAAGCAGATATAGACTGTCTTAAATCAATAGCAGTTAGACTCCATGAAAAAAACTACACTAAACAAAGCCTAATTTAATAACACGGACATTTTTAATCTAGGATAAACGTCATCACAGAATCATTGTCAGTATAATGCTAAACAAATTAGTTTTTTTTAATTAGGTAAACTTATGTAAAAATATTCAGGTAAATTAAATGATGTTGAGTGACCAGTGACAGTTAATACAGTTGCTATGGTAGTTATCGCCACCCTTCCCTCCCATGGGCAACTTTTGGGTGTGCTATTTGCCAGTCAGACACACAGATCAAGCGAGGGACAGACGGGAATGGAAGATCGATAGACAGAGGCAGCAAGACTATGAGATTATCAAAAAGAAGAAAAATTTACGAAAAAATAATCATCATCCAAGGAGACATAAAAAAAAATACATCTCATTACTTACGTGGGACGTCGATGAGGCGAACCATGACGAACGGGGCGAGGTAGCCAGGCTGGTTAGTGTAGGGGAAAAATGAGAGCGGGAGACCTGGGGCTGGCTGCTCTATCTCCACCTCCTGACTCTCACACCACACCCACACATTCTGCAGAAAGTTATTATTATTATAAGTTTCATCAACCAGACCCACACGTCCTTTAGACAAGAGTGAATAAGACAACACAAGAAAATATATCCCAGTTTATCCATTTACCAGTTATAAAAGGAATTCATAGAGCCAGAGTATGCATATTAGTTGTGTTTACAAAGTCTTTATTTATTTATATTTTTAACGCCCTAATAATAACTTAATGAAAGTTTGCTTTAAAATGGAATCAATTGTATATATTTTTATCAGGAATTATGGAATCAGTTTTTATCTCAGTGTACAGTAGTGTTTAAGAGGGTTGGGTAATTGTGTGTCCTGATATACGGTACACTATGTTTCTTAGATATGTGAACCTGTGATAAAGTCTGTAAGATTCTTATTCTTATACATAATAATTCAACTAGTTTCATTAGTTAACTTGTAATATATTATGGAATTATTCCCACTTAGGTGGTTTTGGTTAAGTTGCCTGATATTGTAACTAATAATGAAAAAAAAATATATATAGTCACTTTGGAGAGAGCGTTGGTATCATTGAGGCTGTTGATGTGGTCCTGGAGACCCTGTGGTAAACTGCTAAAATGTTTCGTTGGGTGAGGTAACCACCCTATCATCTGCAAAAGTGGGATAAAAAACAAAATATGTTTATGCTTCTTTTTCTTAAGGTATTTTGATTTAGTATCAACCTACATAGTTGAGACTTGAGTCAGGCTCAGAGCGAGAGAGAGAGAGAGATACTGTTGCGGGTATGATTTTATTTTATTGTCGATTCTCGGGAAAAATGTCTTGGAATTTAATTATAAAAAGTTAATAACGCATTTATAGATTTGAGAGAAGCTGGATGTACAAAAGATCAATATTAGCCTCTGTTGGTGATGTAACACATTGGCCAACCCCGGAAGACGGTCCTCAGGAGGGAAGGAATGAATGCTGTCGCCAGTTCCGAGAGGCTAGAGCTGAGCTTGAAAATAAACACCTGGAGAAAATAAGAGAAAAGACAACAAAAAGTTGTTGTATGTTAAATTGATGAAGGAGGACAGTGTGAAGACCCTGAGAAAGGTGGAAAATGGAGTGGAGGAGATGTGACCTTGTACATCTGGACGAACTTAAAGGGAACTCTGAGAGAATATGTTGCCTCCATTGACACACTGCAACCGTGCCTGGAAGCTGGGTTTGGGTTCAACTGCAGGCTTATACATTTAAATGCAAATGTTTTGAGTTAATCAAATTAAAATTCATATGCTACCAAACACAGCCATACATCTCATATCCTTCCGACTGTTCCCTTGGGCGGGGATGAGATAAGAGCTAAGATAATCATCTCAGTCGCTGCCAACACTATAGAAACAGGTGTCTAGTGTTTACCGACCTCATCAAATATTAATACTGAATTTATTTGAAAAATCAAATGCAAATGAAGTGTTTTATAATATAATGCAGTGTAGCTGCAGAATGAGTAGTATATCCACATTTAAATGCAAATACAGAATTTCCAATGGCAACTGAATTTGTATTTGAACCCAAACGTCCTGGAAGGAACAGTAAGAGGTACTGTACCTTTCTCTTGTTATTGAAGATGTCCGTCTCTGTCTCACCTTGTTAAGTTTGAGTAAGATGCAGGGAGAGTTGGTGGTGTACCCCCAGTTGTCCTCCTGAGTACAGCTGGTCTTGGTCATGCCCAAGTCAAAGTCACAGATTTCGCCAGTGATTATATGATCATCCTCTTTACAGTTGATATACTTGCTCTGAAGGTCACTTCTGTTGTTATAGGCTGTTGATAGGAGGTATCGTTAGTGCAAAGAATGTAGACCTTGCAGATGTTATAGGCTGTTGCTAAGTTAGACCCTTAGTGCAAAGAATATAGACCTAATATGCCTGTTGTAGTTATACCCTTAAACTTATAGCCAACATTTACGTGACGTCACTTTATCCATGATGGTCGTCTTTGAGAAGTCATCGCTAAGGGTAAATCAGAAACACTTGATGACAGCCTGCGAGACCTGTCTGGTGTGTGACGGCTGGATACTTGGCCAATGACACACACACACACACATATATACACGGGAGAATACCGATAATGTGAAGTCTCTGATAGTTTACAATCGGTTGACGTCCAGCTGGATGAAAGGTAGATGATGTTTACAACGTGATGATGGTCTTTGTGTCATGTCGGCAAGCAAGAGTATGGTGCTTCACTTCTAGTTTATGTTGTATAGCTATTACTTAACGTGTCACAGTAAATGCCGAGCTTATGAACTACACTTAATCATTTAGAGTTTTTAAGTTGAAATTATTGTTATCACTTTGGCTTAACCCATTAGTTATTAAGTATTATATTGCTTACCATGGTGTCACAGCTACTGAAAACCGCTCTTGGGTGTGCTAGTGTGTCATGGTCACTGGCACAGAAATATCATGTCACTAAAAGGTTCTGTAAAAAATATCAACAGTGAAGTACCCCCCTCCCCCCTCCCCCCTCAAAAAAAAATAGACATAATGTAAGAAGAAAAAAGAAATATTGTCTAAGAATAGGAAAACATACCAAGACATTATTATTACTTTTAAAGAAATCGTCGATGGAGTCGATGTAGTCTCCATAAGAAAAGCTGCCCGAGGGTGAATAGATGATGACAGGGTGGTTCTCTTCTAAGTTAGTCCGTGGCCGTATTCCCAAACCTTGAAAATAAAGATTGAATTAAAACATTGATGATGACCTTAGTACTTTAATGAGTGATGGCAATTATACCTCAACCAATAAGCTTCTTTGGTGATATAGTAGTATGATTTTGAGCCAGTTAAACAAGGGTATAGGTTACTCACCGGGGTTAGCTAGAAGAGACTCATCACCCGTGTATTTGGGTGTGTGTTCAGTGTCGAGGGTGGTGTAGAAGGCAGCCATGCAGGCGGCGAAAAAGGCGGCCAGGAATGAGTAGAACACTAAGTAGAACAACCCGATCTTCCCTGTTGACACCATAAAACACATCGTTAGTCCGCTTGATTTAAAGTCACGCTCAGAGCTCGCCTTTTCTGTGATGGCGTTGTACTCTCTCTCTCTCTCTCTCTCTCTCTCATGCACTTCACATTACACTGGATACAAGGGGTGCCCAATAAACTATAGCTTCCGCGCCTAGAGGGGGAGGTGGGAATCAGTGTGTGGTCCACGTGTTCCAGGTTAGGTCCAACCTTCTCTTGGGTTGTGTGCATGAAGGGGGAACAGGGTCGACACCGTCCAAGCTCCAAACACGTGACCGTTTGTTCACAGTCGACAGTAAAGAGGTTGGACGGTATCCTTCCCCTCACCCCTCAATGACGGGAGAGCCTCACCGATAACCCCAACCCTAACTGAGGCGGAGAATTAAATGATGTTAAACGCAAACACACAAATTTATTAATTCATTATTATTAATTTTACTATTATTATCACTATTATATACTCTCATTCATGTTAATTTATTTATTTACATATAAAGTATCAGTGTGTCGTTAGCCTAGGCATTTCATGATAAAGACGAGATAAGACCAACGTTGTTGAGGTTCTTACAGTGTAACCTTTAGTATTTAACCTTTACCTTCACACTATACTGACAGCATCGCCGGGTGTAACATTACAACACTACAAGTAAACACTGTTTCTCGTAGACTCGGCATGAAACACCGTGTTCGTGGAAGACCTTACTACAGCTAGTTGTGGCTCTTACGTCATGCTAGTTTCCTGTGTGTCTGTTACTGCACTATACCATCTCTCTCTCTCTCATTTGTGTGCTCGTTGGATCCCTATTATTTGGACTGGTTCCTCTGTGGTCCACGACTGTGTCTTACGCCCATCTTCCCAGGGTGAATTTTCAGTATGCCCTCATGTCCCCCCCCCTCCCAGCACTTCTAATGCTTGTATATGTTCCCGTATAGTATCAGCTGCTCCCCCAGGGTGTCAAGAATTACCATACTGTAGATGCAAATTCCCCATCAAATTTCAATGTTCTCACGTGTCCAAAATCCACAGTTTATTTATGTGATTACTGGCGACATGTTAAAGCATAAGTACTGTATGTGTCATCATAAAAATAGTACATAATTTTATCCTTAAAAAAATGGTATCATCGCCGTGGCAACGTGCGGGGGGAGGAGCCGGTGAGGTTATAACTACTAACAAAGTAGAGGAGTGGGGATTTCAGCATCATTTGGTGCAACACATGTTTGTCGTCTCCCTAAACTTTCCTAAAATGCGTTACGCAAGAAATGAACAATCCTAAAGGAAGATATGTAACTAAGATAACATCGCGGAGGCTTTGATCAGTCACCTGGACCCTATTGATCGATACATATATCCATACTTATTCAGTAAAATCTCCATTTAAGTTTACATTGAATCAGCAAGTATATTGACAATGCAGATAGACAAACGATGTGCCGTTGCGAACAAAAGTCTGCCCCTCCCTGCAGCAGTATTGACCCCGAATGAGATAAAACAGCGCCGGCCGTGATAAGATTCTCAATTACATACACTGGATTTTGCAGATCTGTTATATTGACTGATGAAAAGACATTTATTGCGGTGGAAGACCCAAGCGAGGCACTGTTGGCGGCCACACACAACAACACGTCCAAGAGCGACATGTGAGTGGCAGAGTCAGCGAACTTGAAAAGATGCCTCCAGTCCGAGCCCGATAAGATCACGTTGGTTCATGATATATGTCCCATTCACAGCTGCCAGATAGTGAAGGACTGGTACCAGGAACTCCCTGAAATTCAAGTCCTGGACTGGTCTTCAAAAGGATGCTATCTGAACCCCACAGAGCGTCTTTGGGTCATGATGTGTGGGGACCGGGGCTGTATATGTGGTACACCGGAAACGCGCTTATCTCTCACTACTGTGCCTTGGGTTGGAGTTCAAATGCTTGTACACAAGTGAGAAAGGTGTTTTCCAGTATGACCTTACCAAACATCGCAGGTTTCCTCGGGATACTCATGTACTAAAACTAGACAATGGAGTTCCTATAAAGTAACACAGAACAGACCAATCGCTTGAGTGGCTTGTAAGCTGATAAGTGGTGAAATGGTCAATTAAATTACGAGGTGTTACAGAGCGTCGGGCTGTGTGCATCAAGCGGGTAAAGTCCGTCATCAGGCGACTGCAATGTGTGAGGAATAAAATTGGGTGGTGGAAGTATAGGGGACAAGGCTGTTTCTTAGCTGGGATATTTATGGCCAGGAGATACAGATATCATGACGCGAAATCATCAAGTAAACCAGTGATAAGCGGACGATGCCAAGTTATTCAGGGAAATTGGGAATCAAACAGATTGAGAAATGTTAACACAAGATCTCTGTCAGCTTCAGGGATGGCTGTTAGGATTCAACCAAGGATGCACCAAAAGTATGGAGACGTATTACATATACCAACGAGACGAGGAAGCATCATTAACTGAGACCAAATGTGAAAAGGACTTGGGTGTGTATGTCCTCGAACCACTGTGAGAAGGTGAACACGTAACTAAGCTAGTTCACAAACCTAGACGGTGCGACCCACATACACTGTTTGAGCGATAGGGGTTAGGTGTAAACGGGGCTGTCTAGTTTGGGCCAAGAGACGCTGCAATTTCCTCCATTCTACTTACGTTAACACTGTGCACTGAGATACTTAGGTACACTCATAAACACAAATAGTGAAACTCATACACACATGGTGCATAAAAATACTCACGCGCCAACAATGCGTACAAAAAAAACAATACATAGACACTCGTGCCAACAGTAGATACAAAAAACATTAACACTTACATAAAATACATAATAACTGTAAGATGAATTGCAAATACATTAGCAATATAAATACTGACCGCACACACACACACACACTACTGTATATTGTTGCTTAATGTGATGAAAACAAGCGAACCTAATTGAGAAACTCCACGAGTTTTAAGACGTGAAAATGTTGCATAAATTAAGAAGTGTAAGTCCTTATATAACTCCCTCTCCCTCAACTCACCCCAGGACACCCCAGTTCTTCCAAGGAATTCCCTCTTCTCGGGGTTCCACCAGAAACTCTTCATAGCGTCCCCGGTGCTCCGATGCCTGGGCGGTGCCCTATTGTAGGTGGGTATCTTGGTGTCCACTTCCCCATTGGTGCGCTTGGCGTCCCCTTTCGTAAAAGATATTGTGGGTTGTTGGTCGGCCATCTGTGAGTCACGTCCTACCACTAGCTCAGCTAGACGAACTATGACGCTTACTCTCCGCTCCGCTGTTGAGCTTTATCAAGACTTACGCTTCTATTGAGTTACGTGTGTGTATTTGTTTTCTTGTTTTCTTGTAGCTCTTTCTTGTATGAGAATATTGTGCTGGTGATTTACCTTACTTAGTAATTGATTGTCAGTGGTTCTTTGTGTGTGTGTCTGTGTGCGTGTTGTAATTAAAAAAGTAGCCATGGTCTACATTCATCAAGTCTGCCCAGGCGTAGGGGAGGCAGAGAAGCTATGATGACGTCACGGGATCCATTCTGCCCTATTGGATTTGCATTTTTTTATTATACGTCCTTTTATGATTTGCAACTCGTCAGGGGAACAGGAAACATGTTTTATAGTATAAATGAATATACATACTAATATCCAGTTGGGTTTTTAACTAATCAAACCATACGTAAAGAACGAATAATATACTGTGTATGAAATTAAATCTAGGACTCTGGGAACCTCTCGTACGTCTACGGGAAAGGGTCGCGGAAAGGGGACGTGATTGCTGCCCGTATCATCATTGGGTATGACTGCTTGGGAGATTGGTGTCCCCGCCTCCCCAGAGCAACGCTCTTGTGCATTATGCAGAAGACCCGACAGCAGCACCCTTATCCACTACCTCCTAAGATGTCCCCACAAACAACGCTTCCGTGACGCCTGCTGGACCACCACTCCACGACCCCCTGACGGAGACACGATGATCCTCCCCATACTGGCCAGATATTTTGTAAATAATATTGATTATGTGTTTAAGGAATATCCTTCCTTCCTTAGGCTTTAGTAAACCCCTTTATAATATTTATACTGTATATACTTGTCACACTTGCCAGATGCTTCTGGTGTCATTGTACAGGGGTACCTAGTGACAGCACTAGGATCCCGCTTCTTCTATCAAGGAATAAACAATTGAACTTGAAATTGAAATTGACTCTGGAAAATTCAGTCGTTTTGGGAAGGCGTGTGTAAGATGGATGCCAATATATACAGTAGATTAAAGAAACAAATTTGTAAAAAAAAAAGTGTTAATACTGAAATAACAAAGTAAAAAAATGCTTATTGAAAAAAATATGTAAATACAAAATTTCATTAAATTTACATATATAAGCAAATATCACAAGCTTTGACATACTTTCTAATTGTGAGTCATATACAAACCAAGCGGGCTGGCTGTAACGTCACAGTGTGGGTCCTACTTAAAGCGTCGTGGTTGGGTACACTTTCTTTGTGCTGTGAGCCGACAGTGAGCGTATGTCTAGAACCTGTTTTTTTAGAATTTATTTTAGATCATGTAGCTGACGTTAGGCGAGCCCATCAGCCCGCTTTGATTTGTATGCCAAAATAGAGGTATTCTGTGTGATGTTAAGTTAGCCAACACCATGCAGAGGACTAGGGTAAAGTTTTAATGAAATGTTATGTGGTGTATTTTTTATATCTGAGAGTACATAACTGTATATATGAGAAGGGAAATAGTATACATAAGGTCGACAATTTCATTTATTTTGCATTTATAGTAAATTTATCTTATATGCTTTACCAAACAACACCACCAGCACAACACATCACCCTACCTCACAACACATCACCCTACCTCACAACACATCACCCTACCTCACAACACATCACCCTACCTCACAACACCAGCACAACACATCACCCTACCACCTACCATACAACTAAACCACATTACCCTACTAAGCACCACCACAGCACATCACCACACCACATCAGTACAACACATACGATACCACCTACAACCAACACCACCGCAATACTGTACCCTACCACACAAGATTAACCTTTTTTTTTCCTTTATCCTCTTCACCGCTGATCGGCTTGTTAGCCGCTTGGGCGATCGGTCACGTCTCTGTTACGCACTGTTGGCAAGTACTGGGCATGTACTGGCTCCTGAATGTACCTGAACCCGCTCCAGTGTTGGTCAAGTCTGGTCTTGAAAAAGATCACACTCGGTGCCGTCACAACACTCTGGCAGGTTGTTCCAAGAGTTCACAACTCTCACTCCAAAAAAGTTACCTAAGAGGCGGAACTAACAGTAAACTTACCTTGTGATGGAGTGTTGGGTGGGCATCATCAGTACGTTTCATTTCTCCTTATTGGTATTGGTACACCGAGTAGTTAAAGCTGTATAGACTTCTTTGGAAGGCACTCCGTTCAAAATATATACTAATTATCCATGCATGATTACTGTCTATTTAATCTTGTCTATTACAACGATAAATCCACTTTTGACTCAATTCTTTATTTTAGGGGAACCGATAAAGCTCAGTAACCCCCTAAACACTGTATAATTAATGGCCATGTTTCACTATATCCTGTTATTTTAGAAGCATAGTAGATGAGAAAAGGTGATATGGAGTGTAAGGTGCTAGGTGGACCTGTTGATCTTCTCAGATTGATGACCCACTGATCACTCGGGTCACAGGTGCGACCCGTATCGCCCAGGTGGTGTCAAGACGTGAGTGAACGCGTTGACCTGGTAATATGGACCTTACAGCTACACCTAATACGTGGACTCGTAATCTAACAATAAAGACTAATTGGATTAAATTGCGTGAGAGCGGAGTTAAGAGTGTGTGTGTGTGTGTGTGTGTGTGTGTGTGTGTGTGTGTGTGTGTGTGTCCTCTGAATAATTCTTTTAAAATTAATACAATATAAGTAGCAACAACAGACATTATTCACAAAGGTATGTAATAGATTAATAATACACTTGAGGTATGGAAATCATCGCCGTAATAGATATGTTTAGGTAGATAATGAGATACAGTAGTTCATGCCGACATATATGAGAAATTACTCAAATGATTGTAACTATTTTTGCTAATGTAAATGTATTAATTGTAATTTTGATATGTGATTGTTGTGATAAGTCTAAGCCTAATAAATCTGTCTGTCTGTCTGCATACTCTGGTTGAGACAGACTTGGTGAAAACCTAGAAGAAATAAACTTATTATTAAGGGGATATCCCACAGTATACCTTTACCGGAAATACTGTACCAATATAGACATTAACTAGGTTGTTGTAATTGCCGGATATTAATTTCTTAATTTACCTTGTCAGGAACAGGAAACCGACCACAGTAAGTGTTCAAACCGCCTCTGTTGACAATAGGGTGTACGTATATATTATTTACTATAAAACTATTGGTTATATGTCCCTATGTGTGTTGTGTTGAGAGTGGAATGTTTTTGATTTTGTTATACGTAATTCTTAAAAGACTGGTGTTCTATTAGTGTTTTGGTTCAGATTAGAAGAGGAACACATATTACTGTACTTGGTAATAATCTTGGTGGTAGATATAATGGTAAATTTAAACCTCGTTTGATGTCTTCTAAAATACTATTATACCAAATTTTACAAACAGTACAATATATTGAACTGGCCCGTGACCGTCATTCAATCCAAGTATCGTTAATATCTTAGGGTTGGCGACCACAGTCCTCCATTCTAAAGGCTTTCAGGCAGTTTTTGCCAATCTTCCAATATTTTGTATCTCTCTGTGGACCCGGTTTTTTAATTTTATTCATACATCCAGGTCTCTGCCTTCCTATGGCTCTCTTACCGTCAACTTTGACCATTAATATTTCTGTTATTATCCCATGATCCTTAATTACAATATACTCGTATGCAAAGGACCAAAATATCTTTTTTTCTTTTTTTACTGTACAGTTCAAATATTTATCTTGAAGTTTTTGCTAACCTTAGTACCTCTTCATTTGTTTTCCAGTCAGTAACTTATTCTTAACATTCGCCCATAAGACCACATTTCAAAGGCCTTTAACCTCTTTCTGGTAGTTACTGAGAGTGTCCACATTTCTGAACCATACAACAGTCCTTTGAGCAGCATTTTTTTTCTCAACTTAAAGTTAATGTTCCTTTTTATTAGGTCTTTTAGATTATATTAACACACATCTCATCCTCACACTCTTTCACACTAACACATATCCTCACACTCCTTTACATTAATATACATCCCAGGGGGCGGACCCAGGGGGGTGCGGACCCCCCTTTTTATCAGATAATTGCAATACTTTTTTTTTAATGCAGTATTACTTTTACTTTTATCCTCTTCGCCACTGATCGGCTTGTTGGCCGCCCGGGCGATCGGTCACGTCTCTGTCACGCACTGTTGGCAAGTACTGGGCATGCACCGGCTCCTGAATGTACCTGAACCCGCTCCAGTGTTGGTCAAGTCTTGTCTTGAAAGAGCTCACACTCGGTGCCGTCACAACACTCTCTGGTAGATTGTCCCAAGAGTTTACAACCCTCACTCCGAAAAAGTTTGCCCTCACGGTTTTCTGGACTTGCGGCTTCTTCAATTTTGAGCTGTGACCCCTTGTGGGGCAAGCGTCCACCAGCTCCAAGTAAGGACACTCAACTGAGTAGTGCCCCCTGAGATGCTTATACACCTCAACTAGGTCCCCCCTTGCCCGTCTGTAGTATAAGCTAAGCAAGTTCAGTTGCTCCAATCTCTCAGGGTAGCTGAGGTGCCGAAGTGTAGGCACCAGTCTGGTGGCCCTCCTTTGAACATTTTCAACCAACTGACAGTCCCTAGCATATCTCGGGGACCAGATGGGGAAGCACTTCACTCCTGAAGATCGTTACGAGGGACGGACCATCTAGATATCTGAACGACCTTCTTATAAGACCCAATAATTTATTTGCCTGATTTACCTTCTTCTCACAATGGCCCCGAGAACTTCAGCTCATTGTCAACATATTGTACACAGGCATTTTTGTATAGTAAAAAGTCATTACTATTGACCTCAGAATATCTCCTAATATCAAGTGCACATGGCTTGAAAATGGTCTCAAAATGCCCATGACACTGATCAGATTTCATATATATTTCTAGGGGGCTTCCTGGATCCACCCCTGCATCCTCACACATCTTCACACAAGTGCACCTCATCTTCACAATAACACACCCCATCCTCACACTCCTTCACACTACCACACCTCTCAACCTCACACTCTGTCATGCTAACATATACATATTGTCCTCACATCCTCGCTATACCACACCTTCTTGGTATCTTTCTTTTCTTTAAATTCATTTGTGATTTCTGTTTTAGGTTGTGTTGTTGAGAATTCATATCTTAAAATTCTCATATTAATTACAGAGAGTGTACAGTCCCATTGAGCAGTGTCAAGGTGAAAGATAAAAAAAAGTAACAGAGAGTAGGAGGTGAGACTCGCTTTAAACTACGGTTAGGTTAGGTTCAGATGTTAAGGTAGAAGTGATACAATGGATGAGAGGAGTGTACAGTACCAGCTATGTTTAACAGTGGGGAAGGGTACCAAAGGAATGAAAAAGAGTATCTATAGTTCCTCTGTATAAAAGGAAAGATGATATGAATAAATTTGATAATTGTGGAGGAAAAGGTCTGATGAGTGTATGAAGGGAAGTGTATGGTAGAATAATACTGAAAACAAAGACTAGTGTATTATTGGGAGACATGTGGAGAAAGAGAAAAGTTCTAAACTTAACAGGATAAATGGGAAATTGTTGAGTACTGGCCAGGGGTGATGGTAAGAGTGAGAAGGGTAGGACAAGTAAGAATGGAGTAAAGGATACAGGCATTAAAAGTGAGGGCTGAGGGGATGGAAATGTAGGAATCATCATTGCAACTGAGCAGAGATCATGGTGTTGAATAATGTGCCACTGACCTAGATTCTGGTCAGTGTGTGTTAGGTCGGAAGCACATTTTTCTGTCATTATGAGATCATAAGGAATAAATTAAAAACTTAATAATGATTTTTGAGAGTTTAGTGGTTTAAATATGTAATGATTACATCAACTTTACACATGAAGGTAATAATGATATGAAGAATATATTCATATGAATAAAATATAAATTTGAAAATTAAAAGAATAGGATGAATACAATTAACAGATGGGAATACTGCATGAAAATTTTAATTATGAATGAAAATTATCATTGATTTAGATTTAAGAAGATACTGTTTATAGTCAACAGCATATTACCCAGACTTCTATTTCCCAGAAAATCCATTCATCCATTTTATTCATGAGAAGTTCTGTTCAGAGAAGTACTGTACTGTACATCTACTATACAGTATGAACATGGAAGTTCATGGGCTAGCCACCAGATGGTTTGTTTGTTTGCTTTTATCTAATGGTTCCAATCACTCTGGTGTTCAGGTTGACTTAGCCTTGCTTTTACATTAGTGTATAGCTTTGAAAATTGGACCATTCCTTTCATACTGTGTATCCACATTTTATATTTTGTACATTATACTGTATTGCCAACTGTAAGTGCAGAGTACTGTACAGTACTGTATTGCATTTTTATGCAGTATATACAGTACAATACTGTATATATTTTTTGGTATAAATTACACCCTGTGCTTATTTTTAACCATAATTTGTACATTTTAGAACTTTAGATATCCTCTGTCTCTCAGGGGTTACTTCCCAAACCCCTTCCCATTAGATCCAGCCCATGCAAACCATGGTTTTGCCATTCATAAGATAATTCTAGCAAGTAACCCTCATGATTGATGAAGGATTACTGTATTGTTCCCAGTACAGTACAGTAATTTTGTGGATTGACCATTGTAAAGGAGTACTTTACTCACCAATACATTTTCTTGCTTTCTGTATGAGAAGCTTCAAGAGAGTGAGATAATGTCTGCTTCTAATATACAGTTTAAATATGTACAGGTATTGCAATCCACTGATTAAATAAAGAAAGTGATGCTGGGTGGCATAAATATGAGCTGAATATTATGGAGCATGTCATTTAGGTATGTAGGGTGATCAGTCACTGCATTGTCAAAAAGAATTGAGGCCTTCAAATTGAGGCTAGTCACAAAAGTAGTGCTTCACCCACACACAAAAACACTTCACAAAACAGTCTTTAAAAAGTATTGCTGCTATCCATTTTCTCTTTCTCTCTCTCTCTCTCTCTCTCTTCGGTGAATAGGTAAGGTATTTGGAGGCTAAGACCATTTAAAGCCCAAGGATTCTGTGAATGGTACATAAATATGATTTGAGTTCAGGTAGTGTTCTTGTGTCACAGGGTGCACAAGATGTTTTTCTATGATTTACTGTATTACATGTGGGGGAGGAGAAAAGCACAGTGCACAGCCATGTATAAATATGTGAACCTTAACTTAATAAAAAAAAAACAATATAAAAAGTTAACTTCTTATGTGTGAATCTTGTTCTCGTGAAGTCAGTGTAAATGATGGCAACTTGTACTGAGAGGGCAGGAGTGGTATACAGTGCTACTGTAGCAAAGGCTGTCTCCGTGGTTCTTCATCATCAATGGAACTATCCATGTCTTCATAATAATTCCAGTCTTGGACTTCTGTGGTGACGGTGGCTATGTAGATGATGCCTGTCAACAAATAAAGGCCACCTCCCAGCAACAGAGATCCTGTCCAACTACTAGTCTGAAAAGAACATCATTTATAATAAATTACCAAACAAACATGTTCAAATTTTTTGTTCTAATACCAGTAATAAAATTGCTCTTTCAACTACTGTACTGGGTAAGTTCTGGTCACTTTTGTTCAACCTTGATGCAACATTGACCTCCCAGAACTATAATTTATTGCAGAATCTCTTGTAGGGGAGAGGTCTAATCTTTGAATTATTACCTCAGCCATCATCAGGTTAGGGCTTTCCCATGTCCTAAGACCCATACCTTTGGTGGGCATATCCATGAGTTGTTTTATCCAGGCTCAGTTCTAAACCAAGACATCTTGGGTTCAAATATTTTACTTATCACTGCTGCTGGGGGGAAAGAAGCATACACAATCATATCACTGAGTAATAAATGGAAGACACTGTACATGAACACGAGTACAGTCGTATTATTCAAGTTAATGAAGGAGGAATGCTGTATCACAAGAAAATGTATGCAAAGGAAAAAATGTATAGCATACCTTTGTGATAATTTCTGCTGTAGCAATGGGGGCCAGAAAACCACTAATGTTACCAATTCCCAGCAAACCTGACATTGTTCCTGTAGACAAGGATAAACATGTCAGGTATATTTATCTTCATCAAGTACAATACTGTATCGTATAATGGCCATTCTAAGAGAAAGATATTCACTAAGCACAAACAAATAGTATCTGAATGCTCTAAAACTTACTTAACTTTTCACTGTCAACAAGTGTTCATTGTAAAATTACATTATTCCACAACCTGCTTAAACATTGGATGGAAATAAATTAATGCCCCTATCTTCAAGTCTTGGACCCTCTCTTACCAGAAACATATACAGTACATGTCACTGTCTGTATATTGTACTTAAAAAATTCCACTTGGCAAGGCCATTGTAAGAAAACAAACAGAAAGTAGAAGCAATTTTTCTTATAACAGCTTGTATGTAAACTAGGGGGAAAATCTGATTATGAAAAGTGCTATTCCTCCACCTAATTTGCCTTACTCTTTGGAAAAAATAAGTTTTCTTCTATGGAGATTCTTCATGAGGTTGCTGGATAACCTGGACCCTTGTTCTTTATTACCTTGCATGGAGTGTGAACATATGTGTGTGTGTGTGCAGTACAGTACTATACAGGTACATCTTTTTTTTCACTTTCATATATAAAGACAGCAAAAAAAAAGCAACATAAGTTTCCATAGATAATTACTGGGCAAAGGAATTCCAGGAGGTTTGGGGGATATTTTAATAGTCTAACTTGCAAATACTGTACTTAAGAATGGGTGTAGGTAAAGTATGGCTGATTCTGTAATGTGAATCCAGTATCATAGGATACCTTAGTGTTATTTCCACTGGGAATGCCAAGCTAGGAAAAGATTTACGTATGTCAAACTGTAATCTGTAATTATGAGGTAAGGCACTTATCTCACTACTATGTCATGGGTTTGAGTCCTGGCCCAGGACACACATGGGAAAGGTGTTATTCAATATGACACCAACAAACATGACAGGTTTGCTCCTGGTATTTTGGTTTCCTCTTCTACTAGCACTGGACAGGAAAGTTCATTACAAAGTAACAAAGAACAGACCAATTGCCCAGACAGCTAGTAAACTGATAAGTGGTGAAAATTGATAAATTAAAAAAACATAAGTCTGTGAAGCTCAGAGCCATCACCAACACTGACCAGCATAGTTTGGTGCAAGATCCAAGGGGGAGAGTGTGAAGGTGCAGATTGTACAGGAGGAACCAATCATGACCACCACCAGCATAGCAGACACCACCCACTTCTGGCATCCTCCCCACACTATACACAACAAACCCACCACCACCAGCACTGTCGCTGCAAGGGAGGTAATTGTGGTCAACAGAAATATATATCTATAAAGTCAACCTCCCACTACTCAGCAAGAGGGCTGGACTGGTGTAAAGTGTAGAATGAATAAAATATATGTACAGTATATAAATTATAAAGATCTGATTACTGAACTAAACCAATGAGAGACCTAATAAAACATTCTATTGCTTCATGAAAACATCTCCATGTAGATGACATTTCATGAACTCTATAAAATAAAGCAAAAACATTAAGTTGAAAAAATTGGCTCATGAAAAAGATTTTTAGGGATTGTACCGATCAAAAGGTCACCTGATATGTACATTACATTATATGAATCAATTTTCCTTAAAAAAAATAAAATAAAACACTTACCTATCACGTGCATGGATCTTCTAGTGTTTAATTTTGATAAAATACAATGTTGGATGAGTAAATCTGAGATTCTACCAAAACAGAAGGACCAAACCCAGGCACATGTGTGGCCTATTGCTAGCACCCAGCTCACCTCTGTCATTCTCATCCCAATCTGGAAAAGAGAATGCAGTACAGTAATTTTCACACATCTAACATTATCTAAATTTTAGTTTTAGTTTAGACTCAGCAATTGAAATTTTAAATTCTGTACTCTTGAACTTTATAACAGTCACTTGCACCAATTTGCTTCTATTGGTAACAGGTGTCATGTGACAAACCTTCTGTGCACAAAACCTTTCGGAAGAACTCACTACGCATGCGCACCAAGTCCATGAATATTAATGAGAATTCTTGCAATATTCCTTCCACCTTGGTTAGGTTTGTCACACTGGAATGAATATTGTGTGGTAACGTGCAATGGAACTTTCCAGCAAAACTTGCACATATTACACAACCGGAAGGTTTGTTGTATGACAATAGACAGCATCTGTCAAACATGAAGGAAAATATTATTTCAATAGTGTATAGAATAATTACAGTTCTGTACAGTACTGTGCAGGAACTTATGTGAAATTCCTCACTCCCTTTCAAATGTTCATTACTGTATACAATATTAAACCTTGGATGAGTAGAAAAAATGCTGCCACAGTATTTTCTTTTACCATTCACACAACCTCATAGAGTACCATTCACTGGTTCATTTTGCCACCTGTTAATCCAGCTGAAATTGGATTTATGTGAGAAAATAGTTTTGCTTCCTTCTAACAAATGAAACATTGTCCACATGGACAGTGTATCTTGTTATTTTTCCAACATACCCTTTTGACACTAGCAGGCCGTGCCTTATGGACACTTACTGGTTTGGATCTCATAAGTCATCAATTTTTCTCAATAGCACAATAAGTTCACTGACTCTTAATACAGTACAGATGATTTTAACCAAATTTTTCAACATTTACCAGTTTGGTTGAGCAATAATGTAAACAATATCAGTCACACTAGTTTGGTGGCCCTACAGGAATCATCTAGCAAAGCAAGAACTATCAGTTTTCTACCAAAGAAGTAGAATTTTTGGTATTATTTTAGTTTCGGTCATCTTGGGAATCTTGGGAATTTAGGCCCCCAACCAGAAAGGAGGGGGTCTCCCCCCTCCACCAAGTTAGGATAGATATAGTTCCTGGGCTCTGTTGCTAGGTTAGGTTAGGTTGGATAGGTTTGGATATCTAAATACAGGAATGACCTCAATAAAAATTTTACCAAAATTTTTGTGTTAAGTACATTCTCTCCTAAAAAAATATAAACATTAACCATTACATGTACCTGCATTTTTAGAAAAAATGGTGCTTCAGTAATGGTTTGATTCCCCACCCAAGAAGACGAAAACTCTGTCAAGATGCTTGGGTAGAACCTCCAGCAGCGAAGAAGGCGACCCCATGGTACATGACGCTATAGGGTAAGGTTACTCATCTTAAACAGTTATATAATAGAGTGACACATTTGGACATATTTAATAAAATCAAAGAAAACTGGTTCAAGAATATATAAAGTTAACCACCATTACATCATTTTGCTCAGTTTGTGAGATGGCAGTCTCTAGGCCAGAAGGGCGGTTTAACATATTTCTACTACAACATTTTAAATGATATGAAAGCACCTAAGAAACCTCTCAAAGAACCATATAATTTATCTTTGTTATACAGTATAGTAAAGTACTTATCGACTAGAATATACAAATACAATTTGGTATTTCATCTTCACAAAGCCTGAAACTTGTTCCTGAACTAAAAAGCAAAGAAAACAAAAATAACTACAATACTGTACAGTAGGTAAAAGAGGTACTGCACGGCTATGTAGGAAAACATGCTTATATGGCATCCTTCTCAAGTACAGTACAGGGGTCCCCGACTTACAAAAGCCCACCAATATGAACGAGGTTAAACTTTAAATTTACAGTACAGTATTTCATTTGTGGACTTATTTTTTACTTTTATTAACTGTATTTTGTCATTCTGTTTTTTCTTTTCTCTTAAATTAAATGATTTTAGATGTATATACGGACTTAGGCTATGATGTAAAATGTAGTAGGATTTTAAACATTGTTCTGTAAGTATGGTATGCACATAGCATGTGTTTCAACTTACGTACATTTTCGACTTAAAAACGTCCTCAGGAACAGTACCCGTTCGTAACCTGGGGACCCCCTGTACTGAGTAATGGCACATATCATTAGCATCATATTTGGATAATGATTAAAGTTCTAATTTTCAGTATGATAAATATATTGAAGTCATTACTGTATTCAGCAGAGCACATTATAAGAAACAACTTTCAGGTAAACTAACTTAGGTCATTGACTTTGTTATAAGACCCTCACATTATGAAAATAACAGCATATACATCCTGCAGCCAAAATTTACAAACAAGCTATTAGTTGTCCAGAGAAGAAATATCACAAACTACTGTAACCTGAACTTACTTCAAGTCAAACTTTATCCAGGACTTTACATGTTCTTTGTTCTAGAGTCTAAACCATTATATGCAATGCTTAATTTGTGCCAGAATGCACTGGAATGGCATTCCAGCACCTTTATTTGTATGAGTAATTTGTAAATATAATCACAATTCAACAGACCTTGCTATCGCTACTGTGTGTATAAATAATTTCTTCACATTGTACTCTTCCAGGCCTTGGCAATACTAAGTGCCTTACTAGTTCCATAGGCTTGGTCATCTGCTTCGCAGCATCTGTCTCTGGCTCACTAGAGTTTCACCACTTCTTACTTTACAAATTAAACATTGATTATGTGATTTTACCACATATTACAAATTAATTTAAGTTATATGTGTATGCCACTAATTTGAGCAGAAGGAGCACAAAGCTTACTCTGGGTTTGATGGAGAAGTTGACTGCAAGTAGTTCTTCCTCCTCAGTGGAAATCAGCGGGTGGTGGATGGGGGAGTTACGGACGAAGTACAGCCAAAGAGGTGTCCATATTACTGCTAAGATACCACCTCCCCAGAACACCCACTGCCATCCTAGCTGATGAACTACCCACTCGGAGGCTCCCAATGCCACCAGGCTGCCCATAGACAATCCTGGTGAAGGCAGGTTAGGTGGCAAAGAGCAGAGGAGCACACTTGTTTTGGCCATACAAATATTTTTAGCACATTTCACATGTAGCAAGGATTGTTTTTGTTTTTATTCTACATGGCATGTCCCACTAAGTAATGGGACGGCATCCTTCTGAGTAAGAAGGACTTTGCTACATCTAGATGTAGATAAGATTGCCCTGATCACAATGTAACATGTGAAATGATGCAATGCCATCTGCTTTACTCCCAGAGATGCCACAAACTGCCAAATGAACTTTGACAACTTCTAAGTACTAAATTGCTTTTACAGCCTCTTTAACTAACATTTCCCTATGAGCATTATTATTAGCGTATCTATAGTCAAGCTTACCATATGACAGAAATGAAGACAGTACTGTACTCTATGAGATGCTTAATTCTTGGCATCACTAATATGAAAAATGGAATAAACGAACCTGAGTAAGCAATAGTAACAGTAGTGGCCAGCTCATCAGGAGGAGCCCAGCTAGCCAGCACGCTGTAGAGAGCAGGGAAGGCAGGACCCTGCACCAGACCTATGATGAACCGTATACTTGCCAGCGCCATTGGATGGATATGGGCAGCATATGGACACAACATTGACAACAGTCCTGATACCCCAAGGCTTATTGCCATTGTCTCCCGGCCACCAATGATCTCACTGATGCGGCCACCTGTAGATAACAGTACATGTATCATAATTCTCAACATACAGTAGTATATACCAGGGTAATCTTTAAAAACTGATGAAGGCCTGTATACACTTATTGTGTTCGTGACCCTCAAAGATACCAAGGATTTCTCTGATGTAGCCACTTGCAATAGAGATAATTCTCAATAAATTGCAAAATAAAGATAATTATCTCCTAAATTGAAACAAAAATAGAAGGTTAATCATGAAACAAGCTCATACCCAAGCAGCTCATGTATTGAGAGTAACATGCCTTCAAGGTTAGACCCCTGATACGAGTACCTGTACTGTACTGTACTGGAAAGCTAGTCAGAACAATTAGTCACCATTGTAATCATAGTCCTTAAACAAAAGTTGCCATTTGCAGCAAAAAACTGACAAGCCATGTATACCCGCAATATTGTTCATCTGTTCAATGCACTGGTCATGTTGTGTTCCAGGCCACAATCATCAATGTTTCAGCTGATTTTTCTCCACCCAGCAGAGGGAGTGAAGGAAGCTGTCCAAGCCACCTGGAGATAGTTTCAGTTATAAGAGCGGCTCTCTGCAGTGAGTTGTTTTTACTTTTAACATCATTTTAGGAGAACTTGCACTAAACATCAATATCTTTACAGTATATTAGAATTAAACAGACTGATTTTTTTCACAAAATTTTGTTTTTTAACAAGTTGTAAGGTGTAAAGGTGTCACATGCCCATGACAGTGCTAGTACTGTACTGTAATTGAAATTTAAGTGACAGAGGGCAGGCAAAGCTTTGGTTTAAAGAGGTGGGACGATTATGTTGGGAATATGCCTGGCCTTATTGAGTTTGGATACAGCTTCCATTCATCTGGATCCATAAAATTTACAGGTGTTATAGCTGCTTGTTATAATGACACTTCAAAAAACACAAAAAAAATTAAAGAGGGAGGTCGGATGTCCAACTTTGTCACTTCCTGTGATCCCCATATATGTTACTGTAACAAAGAAAATTACTCCCTGGGTGTCAATCCACATACTGTACTATACAGTATTAATAGGTTGATGGAGAATAACATACAGTATTGCACAACATTAACTTATAACCTGAAACAAATCATGTTATTACAATTAGATGTTTACAGTTACATGTAAAGGCAATATACCAATATAATTTTCTAGAATAGCCATTAAATATCCCAGTTTACTGGTTTGCGACTGATTTTGCCTTGTAGAAAATGACAGGACAGCACAAGACATTCAGGCTTGTAAAATAAGGTTAAGTTAAATGTACACATACACATTTCAAACTCATTATTAAAACTTCCCTAAATATTGTACTGGTATTCCTGTTTCTCACACCTATGGTTTTAGTGAAAAAGTAACCCCAAAAGAAGGTGCCAAGGATGATGCCCTGCTCCTCTAGGCTCCACTCAAAGTCCTCATCACCCTGTTGACAGAGAAGGTAGTGTCATAACCTAACTTGGTCATGAGTATAGTAGTGTATGTAATGAATATATGACAACTCTGTCTATTTTTTTTTTTGGCTTGACTCACCGTTTGGTTATCATCATCGTGCGAGGCATTGCTGGCAGCGGGACAGGCGCCCTCCATAGAGACATGGGTGTTGTTGATGGGCTGGGTGTTGTTGACCATGGCCACAATAGCTACACTCAGACCAATCCTTACCAGGTAGTCCATCATACATCCCAACATACCCAGCAACGCTACCACATACCGCAAGGGAAGCCACCCAAAGCATCGTCTCCCTGTAAGAACATAAGAACATAAGAAAATAAGGAATCTGCAATCGGCCGGTCGGCCTGTGCATGGCAGCTCCTGTCGAGAGTTACTACCACTCTCTATCATCCACGAATCTATCTAGCCTCCTTTTGAAACTTTCCAGAGTTCCCGCACTTACTACAAAGTTGCTAAGCTTGTTCCACTCGTCCACCACCCTATTTGTGAACCAGTTTCTTCCTATCTCCCTCCTAAACCTAAACTTATCCAACTTGAATCCGTTGCTGAGTCCTATCCTGCTCGTTGCTCTATCCTGCTCACTTTATCTATATCCCCTTTATTGATTCCTTTCACCCACTTAAATACTTCTATCGTATCTCCCCGCACTCTTCGTCTTTCTAGGGAATGCAAGTTAAGTTTCTTTAACCTATCCTGATATGGAAGGTTTCTAAGTCCCGGAATCATTTTTGTCATTCTTCGCTGCACCGACTCTAGTGAATTTATATCCATTCTATAATAGGGGCACCAGAACTGAACCGCATAATCGAGGTGCGGCCTGACTAGCGCAAGATATAGTTGCAATAAGACCTCTGCACTCTTGTTACTTACACTTCTAGATATAAAACCCAATACTCTGTTTGCCTTATTTCGAACATTAACGCACTGTTTTCTAGGCCGTAGGTCCGGGCGTACAAGTACCCCTAGGTCTCTTTCACAAGTCGACTTCTCTAGGTTGATGTTGTTAAGGCTGTATACATTATAAGTATTTGTTCTTCCAATATTAAGTACGCTGCACTTGCTGGTGTTGAATTTCATTTGCCATTTTCAGACCACCCCTGCAGTTTATTTAGATCCTCCTGTAATGCATTTGCATCCTGCCCTGAATTAATTTGCCGCCCTATTTTGGTGTCATCCGCAAACTTGCTTATGTCACTGCTGATCCCAGTATCTAGATCGTTATGTAGATTATGAACAAGAGTGGGCCTAGTACTGACCCCTGGGGAACCCCACTGGTTACACGGCCCCACTCAGATTTAACACCATCTACGCTGACCCTCTGCGTTCTATCGGTGAGCCATGATTTTATCTAATTTAAAACTTTCCCCTCGATACCATGAGCCTTAATTTTTCTCAGAAGCCTCTGATGCGGTACTCTGTCAAATGCTTTGCTAAAAGCATATGTTAACTGTTTATTAATGACTCTCTCTCTCTCTCTCTCTCTCTCTCTCAGATTTTTTACCATCTCATAAGGCATAGGTAGGTTTATGGGTCTCTAAAAGAGGTTGAGGTTTAAGGTAACCTTTGTTATTCCAATAGTAACTTGACAAAGAATTGAAAGAAACATCATTAACTTACACCAAATGTAAAAACGATCCGGATGTGAATGTTGACAGCACACTTAAGTTCTTTGATCATTGTGATAAGTTAAATCAAGTAAATAAATAAACAGGACTCGCATACCTCAGTACAAAGGCGGATCTAGGCATTTCATTAAGAGGGTGGGGTCAAGAGAAAAAAGAGCATCCCTCAAATAAAAAGGCCAAAGTACTAAATATTTTCTTAAAACAGACCAGCTCTGAGCAAGTGTAAAATCCGTTGTATTGTTTTGTGAAATTTGTTGAATTATTTGGCCAACCTGGCAATCCTGGTCATGTATTACAATCACCTAAATATGACCCAGAACTCAATTTGTATGCTGTGACGTAAGTGACAATCAACTTCAGTCTTTAGTGGCGGTTTCAGGTTTTTTTTTATTGAACCCCCCATTTCTCAAGACTCGGCTGACTTCTTCAGGAGATTGAAGAAGTCCCTTTGTGTTTACCTTGCTACCACACTCCCACCTGTCCAAATGAGTCATAATCTTGTATTTGTATGTGGTGAGAATTGCTTGGGCTCCTTGTTTTCCAGCCATCTTCCGCTGGTCCATCAAAGCAGCGGGATTGGAAAGATAGTGAGGTAGTTGAATGTGGTGGATGGCTGTGCTCCCCGGGGAACCTTACCCCACACCTCACGGTCACCCTGGTTAAACCACATGACCTGGCGAGTGTGAGTGACCCATAAGGGTGTGTCAGTACCCCGTCTACACCATCTAAACTTACCATATATTTTAACATGAGTACTTGGTTTTGACCACAACTTTCTTATACGAGTAAATTTCACTGGATTACCTGAAGATTAGGTGCCCCAGCTTACTTCACGAAATGATTAAACTCCCTAACGCTACCCGGAGGGGTTAGTTTGGGTTAGGATAGGAAGTTTAATCATCGCGTGAAATAAATGGGTGCCTAATCTTCAGGTGGTCCCTTCAGAATTCAAGACTACATACGAGGGCAAACGATGACTTTTAAGCGTGTGAATGCGTGTACTTGTCTACTTAAATACACATTTAAACGAACGCATGTGTGTATGTACAGTATGTATGTGTATGTAAGCTCTCACTACACACTGATCACCTCCAGCCTTACAATTGTTCAAGTCATCTGTTGTGGGTCCCCCGTGTCTTTTGGGTCCAGCTGGTAACTCGAGACCTACTGACATCGTAGGCTTGAGTGGTCTGTAGGCTACTGTGAACACCTGCAGGGAAATACCTGAATGCTGAGTAAGAAAGACCATTGTGAAGTGGTGTCAAATGACAGGGGTGTATCTATATGGCTTGTCCAGCTCAAATTACGGACGCCATAAGAGTAGCTGTAAGCAATATACCTAAAGATAATAAAAGACAAAAATCAGGCTTCACACCTCACCATCATACGTTATCCCCTAAGTCTGGGTTGGGGGCGATCATGGTGTAGGTAGTGGGTAACCTTTTTCCTGGGCAGGCTCTCAGGCTCTCTGAAACTTTGTCCCTTTTTTCTTGTATGTTTCTCCAAATGTAGAGGAGAAAACAAGGACGGATCCAGGAGGGGGAGGGGGGAGTCCGGACCCCCTTTTCATCAGAAAATTCCAATAATTTTTCTTTAATACAGTATTGTACTCAGGCGCTTTTGTAGAGTAAACAAGTAATTATTGACTTCAGAATATCTCCTAATATCATTTGCACATGGCTGCAATATGGCCTCAAAATGCCCATGAAATTGGTCAGATTAAAAAGAAAAAAAAATAAGGGGGCTTACAAAGCCCCTAAACACCCCAGCTGGATGGGCTCGCTTTGCTCACCATGCTCCCCCACCCAAACCTTCTTGGACCCCTCTTTTGATATAAGAACATAAGAAAATAAGGAGTCTGCTAGGCCGGTTGGCCTGTGCATGGCAGCTCCTGTCGAGAGTTACTACCACTCTCTGTCATCCATGAATCTATCTAGCCTCCTTTTGAAACTTTCCAGCGTTCCAGTACTTACTACAAAGTTGCTAAGCTTGTTCCACTCGTCCACCACCCGAAGAATGACTTTATAGTTCTTTCGTTGTACAGTACAGCACAGTACAGTGTTAACCCAAGCGGCTAACGAGCCGATCAGTGGTGAAGAGGATAAAAAAAAATAAAGTTCTTTTCTGGACTTGTGTCTTCTTTAACCTTGAGCTGCGTCCCCTTGTGGGGCGAGCGTCAGGGTTGCCAACTCGGATTTTCAAATGTCGCTAGGCTGGTACCTAAAAGTAGCTAAATGTCGCTAAATCTTCCATGGAAAGTCGCTAGCTATTATTCCCCCCCTCCAGTAATTTGATGCAAATAATATTTTCATAATGCCGACTATAATGGACGGAGTATAAATAAAATGCATTCTGTAAAAATATCATTTTTCAGATTTTCTGTGAAATGTGGCGCAAGAATATTGCATATTATCCCAGAACACTTTGATCTTTTTAACCTGAGTTCACTGCCTGCCTTGCTGTCACTAAAACATATTTTACACACTTCACTTAAGTGTTCTACCACACGAATAGAACAATGTTCAGCTACAAACATGGCCAGAGTTCCCTCCACTTTTTTTGCTTCAAGTTTCTTGAATGGTAAAATTGTCTGTCTTTCTGCACTAAACGGCTATTCTGCTTTCTTGTGTTTTTGTGTTTTTGTGTTTTTCAATGTCGCACAACTTAGCAGACAAAGTACACTTGCAAAATTTACAAAATCCTTTTTTATTATCTCCTGGCACCTCCAGAAGCCAATTTTTGTATCTGTCATCTCTGAGCCATTCCTTCCTAAATCGCTGCGAATACTGTGGCTTACCCATTTTCTATTGGGACTATGAAGGGTTCAAATTAATAAACAGCATGCAAACAAGCGGAAACTTTCCTTGATGGTTTTTGGCACAGCGGGTGAACAGTGTCGGGGCAACTGTATGGAGTCTATGGGTCACCCATGGTGGACGCGTATGAGAAGTTTGGAACCACGCAGGCTTGATAGAATTAATTCTATAAGATGTTTTGCTAATATTCTTTAAAATTTAGCGTATTAATGAAATTCATATTGCATATCTGACAAAGAGGTAAGTTACCCAGGTGCTACAAAGGCGAAGGTAATAGACAAATAAATGACGACACGGCAACATTAGCCATGGACGGGCTGACATCAAGTGATCAGGAAATAGACGTGTCCCTCCTTCTGTACCACGACCCGTTCAAATGTATTAAACTTTTCTTATTATTTATTGTCCCTGTAACCCCGTTGCTATATATTATGGCTCGAAATTAGGAAAACTGAGTTTTCATGGACAGTCCAAAAGTATCCAGAAAGTCGCTAGATTTCTGTGGATATCTCTAGATTTGCGACAAGTCGCAAATCGCTCTAAAATGTCGCTAGAAAAAAACAAAAAGCTCTAGATCTAGCTACAAAGTCGCTAAGTTGGCAACTCTGGCGAGCGTCCGCCAGGCATAATGGTAGAAGGCGCGTTACCGCTGTATTGTATGCAGATGTGTTGTTTTGTGTCACACGACAAAAGAAACAAATAACAAGCATCCAAAAGATATTACATTTTTATATGAACTTTCAGTGTGAACCAGTAATCGTCTTAGTTACTTACCTGAAAACACAGAACAATGAAATAATTAATAAACTGACGAGGTTTTAATCCGTCTTTCTTTTGACGAACAACAGCAAATATATTATTCTAGGAGGAACATATCTAAATGCAGGGTAATTGTGTACCATGTTCAGTCAGAATCAGTATATAAACTTACTTTGGCTAGTAGGTGTATGAAGTTCAGTATCTAGTAGAGGTGTGTTCCAGGGTCCTCTCACTCGCTCTTCCTGGCACATGATGTTAAAGTTACCAACACTTTGTTCACGTACGAACTATGTCCTAATTTATTCCAATTTGCGACATGGGATTATTGATTTACGACAAAAAAGATCTAGAATGGAAAGAAAGGTTGTGACGACGTTGTGAAAATCTATAACTGTGTTCATCGTGGTCTGGCAGCAATGCTAGTGGGCAAACGTGTCGTACAGTGGAGATGCATACAAATTGTATCGAAAACCAGTTTTACTTAAGAATCTATTTAAGGCGGAGCGGGACAAAAGAAAATTGGCGCTAATAATTAAAAGGGGGTGTAAAAGCAGTCGGACAGAGAAGTGAGCGTCCTACTGCAATGACCCCGATGAATGTACTGACGAGAACTAGCCTTACAAGCCTAGGGTTGCCAAAGTCCCTTTGTGGGGCAAATCGGAAACCTGAGGAGAGCATATACGGTACTGTTATATTGTAGGTATTTGTTGTCAACTTTTGGCTTGGCTTACCTGTAGATTTAAAATTTAATGAAGAGAATGTCATCGAACGAATCTGCAGCTCTTCTTCATCCGTTCGGGTAACAGTATTAGTTGAACCTGATGTATTTGACTGCAGATTGTCCTCCCCTTGGTTGGATTAATTCACCGTATCCATGTTATACATATTTCTTTTGAACGGTCCTAGCAAAATCTCGGCAACAAATGTCATTATTGTGCAAGTGTGTTCTCACTTAAAAATGGACCAGAGTGTTGTGACGGTGCCAAGTATGGGCTCTTTCAAGACCAGACTTGACAAGCACTCGTATATGTGTAGCAGCTCATACTGGCGTTGAATGTTCATATGGAACTTGAAAGTTGATCTGTGGGGTCCTGTAAATTTACCAGTGCTCTATCGTATGTTAATACATTAATTAGAATCTGTCCCTGCCCAATGCTTAATGTCGGGAACAAGTTAAATATGGTGAATTGGTGGGTTTCAAGCTCATCATCATGAATAGACATATATTAACATATATTTTTAGAAGATAAAAAAATGTGCACCAAAGTTCCTTTGAGAAAGCTTCAATATTTTAGGAATAAAGTAGTGTTTTGTTTTCATAAAATATTATTGTGTATATTGCTTTAGACAATATTTTTTTATGTAGGGTCTTTGTCACCTGAAAACGTAAGTGCATCACGAACCTTTATATGACGGACAGTAAACCTAACTCCCGAACATTTTTATATGCATGCGTAGGATCTACAGCAGTACTGTATATTACATCTGTATTATATCTTTATTAAAATAAGGATAATTATCTCCATGTTTGAATTAAGGACTGGATTTGGCCACAGGTAACTTACGAACTAAATATTCTTTATCCTCTGGTTGATAAACATTAATAGAATATGAAATCTAATAATGTGACCCACTATAATTCGTTGTACGTGTTTTTCAAGGTGCAAGTTTGTTATTTCGATTTCATCTATATGAAAATTTGTATTTTCAATATTACCTTTACTTGTAATTATTTTCAAATATTAATTTAAATGAATTCCGGTATGTAATTTATATAATTAACGCTTATGAAAATCCACTTACCTAGTAAAACTATATTTAGGAGTTTTCAGTCCAGTACTTGGTAGGCTAATAATGAATTATTGGAACATCAGTCAGCCGAGGACAGACACACAATACTGCACGTCTGTGGCAGGTGAGTTTAAAATAGACATTACACAAAACGAATATTCTTTAGAATATAACAAAAATGCATACATTAGTACATTTTGTAACTGTTAAACACGTTTCAAGCAGAGGGACGACATTTGTTATCAAAATTACGTAAAACAACGAAAATTTATAACGTTTAATGGTGGTTGAAATTTATCCGATATCTTGATATCTACAATCCCAACTTATTTACGGGACTTACTTATTTTAGCTATGCATTCAACCGTGCACAAACTGATTTGTTTTTATCTAATGCAGTTACAGTTTAAATTAAATCATCCTAATAACACCAATGCGTCAAGGAAACGTATAATGTGCATAGGTAACGCGCGGTCCCTGGCCAATATGTTCGTGCTTGGCCCGGACACACACTCAATCATTTGATCAGAGTACCGTCCTCATATCTCAGGGTCGGCGACCACAGTCCTCCACTATAAACGGTCTTAGGCTGTTTTACCAATCTCCCAAGGCTTTGTATCTCTGCTCTGGGTAGTCATGTCTGGTATTTAGTTGTCTATTCAGATTTTTTTTACAGTGGTTCATGATATATTTCTGTGCAAAATCAATAGTTGAGTGCATATGTACCGTACGTCCGTACCTACATACGGACAGCAGGTTTAGTTTTCATTCTCTCAAACATAGGGCACATCACACTTACCGGTACGTATATTATCAACCCATTTCGATGATCTTTTGCATTAATTGGGGCCCATTGGTGCGTAGCACTTATTGCACCTACGTTAAACTCTCTTATTTTTGCAGGATTTCATCTCACATATGCAATCGCTACATAAAGAAAAAGTGCACAGTAGCATGATAAGATAACCCTGCCCACGTATCACTGTCCGGTGAGTTCTGTACTCATTGATTTGGAAGCTCAGATCTTAATTAGGCAATGTGGCGATTGTTGCTGGGGAGTGAGGTAAAGACTACATGTTTATCTCAGTTTCTTCTGTGCCTGCTCCAAGTATTCGGCATAATGATTCTTCACAGTAATTGCTGCATATATATCATCAATTGTGTTCTGTAAATTTACCAGTGATCGCATAGATGATGATAATCACTACGTCACTAAAAAAATGTAATAACACTAGCAGGTAACACCCACCTTTTTTAGTTTCTAGTATCATCTATATAAATTTGACTTTCAGTAAACTAAGATAATTGTAAAATATTGTACATATACTAAATATCCTGTTGGGTTAAGTTTAAAACTACAGAACATTATGTCAAACCCCAGAACAGAACAAAATTAGTAAACATATTATTATCGGGGCTTCTTTTAAAACCAAGTCCCACATCTTGCCCCCTCCCCCGCGTTTTTCCATTTCTCTTGTTGAATTATATATTTTGTTTTTCTTAAGTTGGATCTACTCAAACGCAACACTGTTGGTAACATGGTTGTCAACATGTTGGATAAAATATGCGAACATTGTTAGAAAGAAAGGTTAATCATCAAATAGTCTACACCAGTTAGCTTACATGACAATTTTCTGTTGGCGACAATGTTCCCAGCGCCAATGTTGAAAACAATCGTGGGATTTTTACACTATTGTTGATACACAGTTGCTAACACGTTACCGACAATTTTGTATTGGTGTGAATTCACTTTTCAGCTCAACTTTTGTTACTCCTAGAAAACATTACACAAACGTGTTATATAACGTATTAAAATACTGCATATCTATATAAGTATCTTTGTGTGTATTGACTGTACAGCATTATGTTTCAAATAGCTTTTCTTTGGCTATATTGAAGTAAGATTTGCAGCGAGTCATATAATTTTTAATTCTGTCGGTCTTGGTTACTGTATTTTTTCTGTGTACAAGTAGGCAACACAGCCTTTACATTCAGCATTTGCCATATCATTTTCTACCCAAATATCGCTTTAATGTTTTCATGTTTTTACAAGAGTTAGTTTCGTAAGTCTACCCAGATTTAGGATGAGTGCTTTCTAAAACATCTAAACTATCTCTTCAATCCTTCCTCAAATTTTGTTTTTTCTTAATTAGTTTTTTTTTATTCTCTTCGGCCTGCTTGATCGCATTTGTTGTATCAAGTCTTGAAAACTGTTAAAAAGTCTAGATTTCCGCTCTTCAGTTGGGGCAAATCTTCTTCTTAAGGGGATTTGATTTTTGGAGACAGAATTCATCCCACAAGGTCAAAGAAACTTACTTATTACGTAGAAATTCTGAAGAGTTTTAGCCTCATGAGTGACTTTACCTCGGCTCACATTGTGCGTTCTGTGTAACTTTTTTTCTTTACCAAAAACGGTATTACCCAGCTTGGTCACTCACCATAATCACCATACTTGGCTCCGAATGTTTTTAGGTTGTTTCCAAGAATCAAATCTCCCTTCAGAGGAAGAGGATTTGTCACCATTGAGGATATTTAAGAGAATGTAATGCAGTTCCAAAAGAGGAGTTCCGAAAATGCTTTAAGCAATGTCAGCAACGTTGGAATAAGTGTATAGCCCCTCAAAGTGACTACTTTGAAGGAGAACACTCATTTGGATGTATAAGTTCAGTAAGTTCAGTTGTGTTTGCAAAAAAAAAAAATACATTATACCTGTAGTCACACCTCGTGTGTATGTGTGTTACACAAGATATGCAGAATGTGCCTATTAACAATAAAAATACAACTAAATTAAGTAAAATTTCATTTCTTTCCAGGACCTGCCAAAATGGAGGCTGTAAGAAAAAGGCATAGCACGAGTAGCGAAGAATCTGATCCGTCCATTAAGACACCCAAGTTGTTGAAAGCAGGGGATGAGTCGGTACAATCTGGCGACAACACACCAGACGATGTTTTCAGTATATTGTACAATTTTGTGTCCCAGGCTGGAGAAGTAGTCCTCGCTGATGTCGTTAAAGTTCTCTATTCACAAAATTACATAAAATCTAGACGAGGAACTATGCCTCTCTTTGAGTATTGTGTTTCACAAAAGCATTGGAAAGACCAAAGGATCAGTGCAAAGTTTGGAAATGACAGACATTTGCTAACTTGTGATATAACACAACAAAGAAGGATTGAGGTAAATTTTGCCTTCAAAGTTATAGTTGAACTTTGTGGTAATGGTTTTGACTGGCTGACTCCAGGTTGTCGGAATCAGATAAAATTAGTTAAGGATTACAAGTACAAGATTTGCCTTAAGTATGGGTTATCTTACTTTGAACTTGCTTCTGAGGTGGAACGCTTTATGAAGATAGTTAGTTCTATCTATCATGAGGTTGGGCAGCAATTCAAAATAGATTTTAAAGAGAGTCTTGATATTATTTTTGATAAGGCGAAAGTAATTTCTAAGGATGAAGCCTCTTTCAAGCAAGTTGTGAATTCAAACGAAAATATTTTTTTAGAAAATAAAGATGTTTTTAAGTTAATCAAGGCTCAGAGAGAACTAAAAGAATACTTTCAACGCCTTAAAGTGGCTAACCCATTCACTTGGCTGGATAACATGTGGCACCAGAGATATGAAAAGGGGTCGATGGCCCCAATGGTTGTAGAATCAATTTACACACCTCTGAAAATTAGAGACACTGGAATAAAAATGGATGTAAAACAGTTGCTGACAACAACTAGAATAGGTCAGGAGGAGGCCATACCCTCAGTTTTATTACTCAACGGCCTGCATGGCTCGGGAAAAACATCTCTTTGTTATCATCTTATGGAGGACTGGTGTAAAGGCACTCGAAAAAATGACCACATTGAAAATTTTGATTTAGTGTTCCTCATTGAACATAGTAAAGTTGGATCCATACTTCTTAAAAACTTCATGAGGGAAAAGATGCTGAAAAAAACATGTGAGGAATTCGAAATAGAAGGAATCTTTCAATTCATGAAAAGGTTGGATGTACTCTTTATCATTGATGGTTATGATGAAGGTACAAAAGAAACTTGGACTATTGTGGAAGAGATTTTGGAAAAGTTCAGCAACAAACGTATTCTCTTGACTACTCGACCTGATTGCCTTGCAGACACCACAGCTCGCTTGCGCAATCAACCTGTTAATTTCCTGACTGTTGATATCGCAGAGCTTGATGATCCAGCGCAAACTAATATTGCCAAAGCGATATTTGAACATTGGATGGGAAATACAGGGGAACGAGAAAAGAAATTGAACGATTTTCTAGAATACCACCATCGGGGTGCAGGGAGAAAAATTTTAGATCACCTTAGATTTCCACTTACTGCTGCTCTTTATATAGCTCACTGGATATCACACGGAATGGAGGCTATGACTGGCACAGCACTACATGATGCTTTGTATGAATTAGGCATGAAGCAGTTGGGTCTTAGCATGGGCTTGCACGATCCAGATATTTTAGGAAAGTTGACAACTGAATTGCCATATTTGCTCGGAAGGTTTGCCTGGAAACTGCTTAAAACGAAACGGCACACTCTTGATGAAACAATGGAGAGTGAAATTGAAAGTTTCTCACGAACTATAAATGTTGATTGTGTTGAAATTGTGCTTCCTTTTCTAACTTGCACATTCAATCACTTCGCATGTCCTACAAAGAGGTGTTTTTCGTTTATGAATAGGCCACAACAATCATATTATGCTGCTAAATACTTGTGCAGTTGTATAGTAACTGGGAAAAGCAGAATCCAAGATTTGCAGATTGAAATTAATGATTGGAAAGAGTACCCTTACTTGCTTCTGTTCCTTATTGGGCACTTGAGGTCACAAAATGTGATGAACTTGACTTTGCAACAAATATTAAATATCATTCATACTTCCAATTTTAAAAAGGAGAGTTACAGCTATTGGTGGAACCTCTGTGTTGAGAGTCAAGGCCATAAAGTTGTACGCACTTTCATTGCAGAAACTTTACCCAAATTTCATTGGGTGTTGAACCAGGAAACTGTTGCCCCTGCACTCAAACTTCTAGGATCCTGTCCAGTGGAACTTAAGAGCATGAGTATTGACATTCCAAAGAATATTGATCCATATGATATCCCAGAATTCTTATCTCTAATGGAAAATCTTTCCACTGTATTGAAAGGCCGATATAACGAGGACAATCCTATTGAAGTGAAGCTACATCTTTGGCGGAATTGTGAAAATGAAGCACCTCAACCGTCAGATAAGTTTCTTCGTTCCCTAGTACCATGGGGCGTTTTGGTTAACTTTCCTGGTGAGTTTGGTGAACAAGAGAAAACAAGTAAAAAGTAGCATGTTAAATACATTGATAAAGTAGCAGTCTTTTAGTGAAAATGAAGACTAATAACGACCAGCAGCGTTTGCTCTATCAGTACCTCCGTGCAGGACCCAACTAATAATGAGCTTCCTTTGATTTGGCCCAAGTGAAAGCTTGGAGTAAACAGAGTATAGCTTTATGTTACTTTGCATTAGCTTTCATTGAATAGTGCACCAATTTTATGTCGCTTTACAGAAGCTTACACAGATTACTACACTAGTTTTGTTGTCTTACAGAAATCCAGACTACTAGCTTTATTGTACTTTACAAAAGCCTCTACCTGTTCTGTGTTAGGTTTATGTAACTACAGTATACAGCTTCCACTGATCACTAATTTTATAGTATTTTACAGACGGATGAGTAGCTTCCACAAAATGTAATTTTTATGGTATATCCCATGTTAGGTTAAGTTTGATTTGGTCAAGATAGATTAAGTTAGGTTGGGTCAATAGACGCTAAAGTGTAAATAACCTGGTAGACCAACTCCAGTTAGTACTATTTTTTTGGTTATCATTATTATTATATTAATGTACAGTACTGTATAAAATGATACCGATTCATGTTCAATGTAAGGAGTTTTTGTTGATAAAATCTTATACATTTATAGGTGTTCAGATAATTAGCGGATGAAATTTTTACCGGTACTTTTCAGTGCTCTTTAAGCATAACATGTTATTGTTTTTCTTGATTTTCTTACTAGAAGTTCTACCTTTACTGAATAATATACAGTACTTGAGATGTATATATTTTTTTTCAGTGTTAGAGATGTTAGTTTGTAGGATGATGTTAATATAGTAATGGAAAACTGACTTCAAGTGTGTTTATACTTCTTTGTAATGATACTCATTAAAGGGAAAGTTATTCCGTGTGGGTTTATTTGACATTTCTGTGTATTTTCCACTAAATTTGTGGCAACGACATACAGACCAATTATCCCTTGGATCTTTCGATGACTTGAGGTTAATTGGTGTCACTGAGGGTAGGCATGAGATAATCGTAATCACCATCATCGTCGCTTCACGGCCATTTTCCACGCATATATGCGTTAGCCGTGATTACCTGAAGGCAATGTGTCTTGCAGCTTCTCTCGTCAGGTTTTTTCTTATCTCTTAAATCATTACTCACAACCTCTCCCGTTGTCATTTTGGCCACCCCCCTAGCTCACCTGTCCTCCCTCCACAGTCAAACCCATGCAGCTCTTGACCCAATTACTTTTTTAAGCTAGGATTCCATTCAAGGTTATTATTATTTTTTTTTTACGGGAATTAGCCCACCCGGGCACAGGTCAAACGACCCACAACGGTGGCGAAAAAAAAGAACAGAAAAATTGAAAATAGAGAAGAAAGGGGTTATACTGTGTTAATCTACACCACGAAGATGCCAGAAAACCAGCTTTTTAAAGTGAGACATTGTATAAGTTTGGAAACACAGAAGAAAGCAGAGCATTCCACAGTTTGGCTGTGTGAGGAAAGAAGGAGGTACTATAACGGGTTATTCTCGTGTGACCGACATCCACAGAGAAATGGTGGGCACCGCGGGCAAGACGTGTGTTACGAGCCCACGGCCTTGCCGGCGGTATACAGGATGCCGAATCCACCGAACATTGCCCGTTAAAGTACCTGTAAAAGAGAGAGATGATCAGTGACGAAGAGGATAAATTAAACCAAAGAGTAATGAGATGGTGTGCCTTTGGTGCGTAATCCACGTCTCTGAGCCGATTAAGATGGTAGATATGCAAATAGCCTGATAAACAGAATCTCTGGTTTTGACTTTCAGGCTGTTATTGTCAAATACTCGAGCACAGACGTCCAAAGGGGCGGCTGCTGATGCATCAGTCTCATCTCGTCTACTGTATGTTGTTGCAGGAAAGAACTATTACCGAGGTAAGTAAAATGTTCTACTTGTTTGATAAGTTTTCCGTTGACTAGTAGTATGGTTACTATGTTACAATGAACTAAACGACCTGATTGGTTGGTAAACTAACGAGTGGCGAACAGGGTAAAATAAAGTATAGAGAAAATAAACGCAATACTTTACCATAAAATTATGTTGACTCAAAGAAAACGTAACTGGTGACACTAAGGTAACCGACCGGCGATCGACAGCGCAACAAATGATGTTTATTTAAGAAAATCTAAAAGGAATATAAAAGACTGTGATAAGGTGAGGAGTTAGGACTTACAAGACATAACCGGCTGTGTGTAGGTATTACTCCCATACCAGGGCTCAACAATTTTGGTTTTTTTATGAACAGCACTACTACCAGTTGTTTGATTTTGTTAATTTTTTCCACATGTTCTTATCATTAAAGTAAGTATTTTAAGAGGCGACATTTACTATAGAACCTGGTTATTGTTGTATTTTCAGGTAAATATTCGTTTAATGACTGTGGTTCCTGTTTGTTATGAGAATAGTTTTTTTGTATGTGTGTGTATTTAGGTGTGTTTTACTCAAACCTGGCTTAGATACACCACAAAACCCTATTCTCATAACAATTTCAACTTCCAAATCACCGTTGAAACTTGAAACCGAACCTAACCTAACGTCATGGTCGACACACCGTAGAATAAAGATGTTGCCTGAGAGTGGCTGACTGGGCGCGTCAAGAACATATCTGACCTGGTTTATTTTTAAAATATTTTTACTCATATCTCCGTTAATGCAAATTTGCTGAAGGAAAGAAATATATTCGTAATTTTTTTAATAATCCCTGAATAACCAAATATGATAATCTTGCCGCAGCCATTAAACGGATATTAACCCATTTTCAACCAATATATAGCCATTATGAGCCTGTCGAGCCAGTTGTACCCTCCACTACTAATTAAGGTATTGGTTCTAGGTTAGGTTAGGTTGGTTTTTAAGTTGAGCCATATTGGATGAAAATACAAATTTACCAGAACCTGACCTTAAAAATCAAAGAAACCTACTTAACCTTATTTAACTTTCTAGCTGGGAGCGAAACTCTCTGAGGTCAATGTTACTTGGTGCTACTATAGCGTACAGTCTACGAGATATTTAGGTGAAGTCAGGTTAGGTTAGATTAAGTCAGGTAAGTTAGGTCAAGTCAGGGGTATTATTTTAGTTTCGGTCTTCTTGGGAATCTTAGGAATTTAGGGGGTATTTTTGCAGTTTCAACCCCAACTCTGTTAGAGCAAACTTGTGGGGCGAAGGATGATATCTCAGTAACCACTCATTTGCGATGGAAATGAAGGTCAAATTCATATGAATCGGACCAAATACCGTGGGAAAACAAAAATTTATGGTTCAACTGTAGGTGGTGGGGCTGAAAATGTAAATTTACCATTTAGTTTAGGTTAGATATAGTTCCTGGGTTCAGTGGCTAGGTTAGGTTACATTAAATTAAATTAGATTAGATCAAATTCATTCAAAACACATCAAAAACCACCAGGAAAGCATTAGGATGACCAAAACTAAAATTTTACTAAGTTAGGTTAGGTTAGACTAAACATATCTTTGTATACTGCACGCTATAATAGCACCCATTACTATTTAGTCCGTCCATAATTTCGGAAACAACACATCACTATTCCACCATAAGTTTTGTTTCTATTGTATTTAGATATTGTCTTGTATTGAGGAAATCCGTTTTGGGGGAGAGTTAGGACATGTATAATGTAGCATGGTACTGTAATGTGATTCAGACCATCCACGTGCTACACCCTCCTCGTAAGTGACTCGGGCGGTTCAAGGGAGGCGGAGCCCCCCCAGTTAGGCTCGAGCAACAAAAATCATATTTACATCACTAATCTGCTTGTGGCTGGTTAGGTTAGGTTAGGTTGCTGTCAATTGACTCAGCCATGTCAATATTATCATTACAGTATTATCCACTCTCTGACTAAATAAACTATTTCAATATCATTATCAAGATCATGGGAGGGGGGGCAGAGAGTGGTGTTGGGGATCTCGGCTGCTCACTGTGAAATGTGTGTATTTAACCAAATGTCTAATGTTGATGCAGAATTTTTTCTTTTTTTTTATATTTATTAGTACATTAATATTTTTATTTATCCCTCACATTTACTGACACAGTTTAGCCTGGCAGTCTGGATGATTGTGAAGCTGAAATTTAATTAGATTATATAGTCATTCCTAGAAAAAAAAAGGACTGTATCAGTATACAGTAAGAGTTAAAAAAAACGACTTTAGTAAGATTTGTATTGGTAGCAAATAGGTACTGTACTGTACAGTATATGAACAGCATGATCAAAATATATGAATTGTGTAGGCCCACACAAGGGAACCTGTGTTACAACCTACTGACCGCTTGGTCTACGTGGGTAGATTTCATACAAACTTTGAATAATTCGTACAATTGACCAAAGACTGATCAAAATTTTTGGAGTATTTCTCACATGTGAAAAATGTACAAATTAACTGGTACTTCTAATAAGTGAAAGTCAAATTAGTGAGGTTTGAGTGTACATTATTTAATAGTAGGTTCAAATTTGAAGTTATTGATGTACGGTAATGTTTTTCTGTCATTCATACTTACAAGTGTAATGTATTTATATTTCAGGTACAGTATAGTGGAATAAATGGAACGCCCACGAAGAATTGTCCGTCCACCAGGTGCACTGAATGACTATTTAACAGCTAATGAAGCAGAAAGAAAAAGTGTAAGTGTTGAGGAAGAGGTTAGGGAAGACCAAAGAGAACAGGAGGAAATAAAAGAAGATGTAATTCAGACAGAAACAGACAAGAAGCTATTTTTGTCTCAACCATACAAGTGCGGAGAGTGTAAAGCTCGTTATAGAAGTAAAGTGGCACTTCTTCGTCATGCAGTTAAACACAGTGGTAAGGATGAACATCTTTTTCTACTTCCTAGTAATTAATAAACATTTAAATGACAAGCAATTACCAATACAGTACCTAAAGTCAGTACTGTACATACAATTATTTAATGAATGATAAGTCTGAACTATCATATATTGTATTGTGTTTTCAGGTGAGAAGCCTTTTGTATGTTCGGAGTGTGGGAAGGGACTCTCAAGTCAATGTGCCCTCTCAGAACATATGAATATTCACACAAACAACAGACCTCACAGGTATTCTTTTGATTCAGTATCTGTATGTAAGTTTACCCATTCGTTTTAAATAACCAGGTTCTTCTGTATGATGTCTTGTGCCATCAATACCATCACAGCACAGTGCATTGCTTTGCCAATTACTGCTCTTCTGAAGGTCATAAACTGAGGAGGAAAATTATTAGTATAAAAATATTAATATAATGAGTGCCTAATGCATATGTTATAACACTACAGTACGCACCAATATTCCAGGTGTGATGAATGTGGCTTAGAGAGTCGTCAGTTGAGTGTTCACCTGCGACATCTCTTAACTCACCAGTCCCATCCAGAACATTTGTATAGTTGCTCTGTGTGTGCAAAGACTTTCAAACAAAATGAGTACCTGCGGAAGCACATGCGGAAACACACAGGTGAGACAACGTAATTTGATTGTTGTGTAGATGTGAATACTTGTCATCAATTGGTTTGCTCTTTCTGACCCAGTAAAGATGTTCTAACCTTAGATTTCATTTAAGGATAGTTTATGACATAAGATGTGACATTCGAGCTTGTTTTTACTCCATTAGATGGGGCCTGTATAGTTTAATTAATGTCTGATGTAAGTGCTGTATTTGGAGTCTAAATTTTTGGAGGTATTGGGAAAAAAAAAAGAATCTTATCTCACAATTTGAATCTCCTCAATCACAGTAAATGTCATGAAGTCACTTTTAATCACACACCCACACACACACGTAAGTCGAAAATGCTTAAATAATACATAGAAAATCTAAAATGGGTGTCTCTTTTTCTTCTCAGCACCACAAAACTCTCACTTTTAAGCTTGCCAGCCATTTTAAAGTAAATTACAAACGAAAATTTTGTCAGTACACAGCGCAATCACTGACGTTGGGACTCGAAAATACGTAATTTGACAAAATTTTGGTACGACTGAGGCAGGTCATAAGTGCGGGTGGTCGTAAGTCGAGTAGGTCGTAAGTCGGGGAGGAGCTGTATTTAGAAGTTACTTGTGACAAGCTCTTTTTTTTCCTCAAAGCCTGGGAAGGGAAATTTTGTAAAAGTGCACACTTGGCATTATGATCATGTAAGCTGAGATAGACTTTGGGATTTCTAGTTATCGTTTCCTTGATCTTCCTTCTTTTCTGGTGATCAGTACTCTACTGCCAAACACATCACTGATAAAATTAAAGTTGGAATGATGGTATTCATAACTAATGAAACGTTTAAAAAATGTCTCGACTACCTTAAGTGTTTCAGTGATTCTAGTGCTGTTACTATAAATAACACAGAAGAGGCATAAAGACTACAAATCCAGTCCATCTGCATAAATATTCAATAATTACATACATGCTAGAGATCATGCTAAAGAAATTGAGGGATAGCCTTCCGTTGGCATCTTATCACCACAGAAATCAGTGTGTGGTTTATAGGCAAAAAATTCAGTCAATAGGGTCCTGAATCTGATGGTATATTGCATAAGACCATAAAGGAACTGGAGAGCCTTCATATACATCTTTATGAAAACACATTACTACCACTGTCAAATTTCTTTATGGTGTATTTCAGAAAATAAATAAAAAATTTGCAGTTAGGTGAATTTTTTATATTTTAGAAAAAGTGTATTCCCTATGGAGCTTGAGAATACAAGGTTATACTGTAGTCTGGTAAAGTGATGTACTGTACTGTAATTCTGTATTTTGTACAAAGAATTTGGTCCATAAAAATCATGACAATAATTAATTTGATTATTAAATTATTAAACTACACTTCAGTTTATACTCATACTTTCATCATGTGAGAAATACTCTTAATTCTTTTGCTACCACATTGTTATGTGTACTTTCAGGAGAAAAGCCATTTGTTTGTAAAGAATGTGGAAAGTCATTTACATGTAAGAGTGAACTGAACCGTCACAGCAAGCGGCATTCCTCTGAAAGGCCACATATGTGCTCAGATTGTGGCCAGAGTTTTAAGATGAGACATAATCTTCGCAAACACCTCAAAGCTCATTCTGGTACACAACAATGGAAATGTCTACTCTGCTCATCCATTTTTTCAAAGCCAAAATTACTGGAGGTGAGTTTGTTTCTTCTGTTTCTGCACATAGTGTTTCAAGTTATTGTATTACTCATTTCTTGAAATTTAGTCCTGATTCTTTCAGATTCCTGACTCATCCATTTATCTGGACCCACCATGCATTAAATATACCTTTGTTCCTTGACCTCCACTGATGATATAACTGTACAAGCTTTGTGGATATCCCTTGATAGACAGATTGTCTCAACAGTACAGAGCCACCTTATTTTGCTCCCTGAGAACAGAGGCAATATTAAGTTGTAGCAACTTTTTTTTAACCTTAATTATCACATTTCATTGATTTCCAAAGAAAAGGGACACCAAATGATATGGATGTCACTATTCATGGCTACAGAGACTTGAAAAGTGAAAGTGGGTTCCGTGGGACACTGTGAGTACAACACACTGTTAACTAAGACTTTGGTACACAAGGAGGCAGCATGGCTGGTAATACACTTGATCACATCCACTTCCCCAAGTTGTAAACTTAGGTATTCATTTAGCTGGGTGAACTGGGAGTGCCTGGGAATCAAACTACTGACCTCTAGAACAGGAGGCAAGTGCTATATCCACTTGACTTAAGGGCTTTCAAATCCAGTACTCGTCCTGACAGATCCACATTATCTGTTTCAAATTAATCAGAAATTGCCATTCTAGAAATCAACTTGCCATTATGGCTATGACCATGTCAATTCTCTCGCTGATTCCACATAGGAAGATCAAATTTGTGGATTGCTGTATTTTGCATTCTTAATGCTTCAACAGGATTAAGATAGTTAACTAATATTCTATACCCGGTTGACATTTTAAAGAGTTATACTACTATTTTGTAACAATAGCCATGATTCAGTAACGTCACAAGGATTTTTAATTTTTTTAATTTTTTTTCAATGCTGTAGTATATGAAAATATTAAGTCTAAATCAATACTGACATTATTTGAGGTCTGAGGGGCCCATAAACCATACATAACACCAGGGGTCAGAGATGTCTCTCCTGGGAGAGACCTGACCTCTGTGAAGTTGTAGTAGTTACAGGCTGGATGACCAAAATCTGCAGCAGTCAATTTATAACCTGAAAACAGTTGCTGTCACATTCCTCCTGGGCAGAAATTGCATATGTGGGTCTACTAGTGTAGGGTTCAGCTTTCCAAATGACAGCTTAAATAATCCTTTCTCCCAGGACAGGACTTGTTGAACTATACTGTAGCTGGTAGTAAAATTTCTCTCCAAAATATGTGTACCATTTCCACAGTTGCATATTTATCTATGGTACGGGGATATTCTCTTCAATGTATTTTGGTATTAGAAAGTCTAATTTCATACCTTGCTGTATGTATTTATCAAATCTGAGTTCCATATTTCACAGACTGTACTTTGTTATATGAAGATTAATGTATTTAAAATTTTTTCACAGGCTCATAGGAAGACACACCTAGAAACAGTTCAACACCTACAAGTCAACAGACCAGATGATAACACACTAATTGTCTCTGCTGAGGGGGATGATCGAAGGAAGCTTCCAACAGTCCACAATGTTCTGCTCCCTAGGGATAATTTAGGATTATATGGTTCTGATATTAATGTACAAAAAAAGTTTTTAAGGATAAATGACACAACCCTGCCCCTAGAACTAATACTAAATTCTGTTGGAAAAGGAAATGCTATTAAAATAAAGATTATTGATAAGCCTGCACAGCCAAGACCAGAAACATTCTCTACATGTGAAAATATTGTTGAATTGGTTGATGAGGACACACAGAAACAAGAAAGCTTCAGTTTTTCAAAAGATAACAACAGCAAAGTTGGCAACATGAGATCAGAGTCAACTGATGAAGGTAAGATTTTACTCACACACACACACACACACACACACACACACACATACACACACACACACACACACACACACACACACACACACACACACTTTGTATAGTTCCAACAAATGATTTACACACAATGTACTCACAGTGAAAATACTGTTTTGTATGTTTCACTTCAACAAATTATTCAGTGTAAATGTACCTGTACTATATAAATTACTTGAAATAAATAATTGAACCATGTGTTCCACACAAAATGAAAGAACACTTAAAGACAAGTATTTGTTCAATGAAACACAAGAGTGCAATGCAAACTACAGTACTGTAGGTGGGAGTGGAGGATTCACACACATGAACACTCATGTACAGTTCAATTAATTATTCATATGCAAATGAGGGTGCCACTTCTTGAATATAAACATATTGCATAATAATTATATTGGATTAAATAGAATGCAATGTATTATTGAATCCTGCCTTTGCATCACATGATAGCTAAATATTAATAAAAATTGATGAAGTTATCAATTATGGAATGCAAAGCTCATTCAGAATGGTTACAAATTGGGTAGAATTTGCTGGTCTCATTTTAATTCTCATACTGTACTTGTACTAATGTATGGCATATATGGTTAACCAATTTTAAATCTACACCAAAGCATACAGTACTTTCCAGTGAACTTCTTTGATGAGGACCATAATTCTGATGATTTTATGCCTCAGGCTGATTGCTGATTTTTATGTTTTACTTGCATGTTTTTAAAGGGGGCTACAAAAAGTAATTAAGTGTCATCCATGTGGAAAGAAGTTTGGAATTGACCTTTAATAATTACAGTATTTGAAGTATTTCCTGCTTTTAACAAAGTTGTTTAATGATGGGCTCTGTTAGTTTGTATATTGACCAGGTTTTGCTTTCAGAGCATTCCTCAAAAACTGGTTCTGATGATTCATTACTGTATATATTTTTATACAAATTATCCTCGAGGTATGGTGATATAGTTTGCTTAAAAGGATAATCTGGTTTCATTATCATTTCCATGACCATGTCATTCATATATGGGATGTAGATGACTGTTTCTTCTCATTTTCATTTCAGGAGGCAGTGTTCCTAGTGTAAATCATGAAGCCGTACAAGTGGCCAGTGTATTGAGTATTCCTGATAGCATATTGAGCCACTGTCTTTCCAAACATTATGTTCGAATCAACCCAGCCTGCTCAGACTATCGCTGCTGGCTAACAACATTAACCTCACTTTGTCAACAACTTTGTCCACCATATGATCTTGAGGTAAGGAAGTGAGATGCAGGTGAATACCTTGTGCATGCTTAACTTTGGTAGAATATTAATCCAGAAATTTTAGATACGGGCACTGCATTTTCTTTTGATGGCTATTCTGTTATGTCAGGAATAAGTTTTTTTTTTTTTTATCTACTGTGGTCATCTTTCTGTATAAATATTAAGACTTTAAATATTGAATAGGTTTTTTCATGACAAGAAAACTGTGCAAAGGTTAACAGTTGTTGGGTACGTGGTCATAGTTGAGTCTAGGGTTTGGATGATATTAGCTTAAACTACTAAAATCATAAGAAAATTTTAACATTGCTTATAAAGGCTGATGATCCTTCATCCAAAAGTCTTGGGGAACAATTGCATATCAGTTTTCAGATATTTTCGATTTTGGGATGTCTAGGCCTTCTTATTGTACATTATACATCCACATCGTATTTACTACACATCATAACCAGTAGACCGTACTTCCACATCATTTCCACTAAACATCTATATCATCTTCACTAAACATCTACATCATCTCCACTACACACCCTCATAATCTTCACTACACGACCACATTGTATCCTCTACACATTCACTTCCTTAAAAAAAATAATTTGGATAAAACAACCTTGTTTATTATAAAAAATATACAGTACTGTATTGTCTTTAATGGGGATACTGTACAGTGGTTTAATCAGATTTGATATAGGCCTAAAGAGAGCTAATAGGTATGACGTGACAGTTGATGTGTAGACGTGCTGGAGGGGGTGGGACTGGCCTTGCCTCGTTTGCCAGTTTGTTTTCATTTATTATTATATTCTCGTATGGTTAGCCTATTATAGTGTATGTTTCATCATAAATAATATAACATATAGTAATAATAATAATAATAATAATTAACGGTTTATTGAAAGAGCTTGGCAGCCAGAAGGCTGAAAATATACAGTTACATATTTGGGGAATGGGTTTCGAATTACAAATAATATACAAGTAACATAAGTGATACAAATAAGATATATAATAACTAGATTGGGAAAAGCTCAAACTACAGTGCATTTCAACATAGTGACAGTGCATGAAGTAGTATTTAGTGGGATCTCAGGTGGTAGTAGGAATGTGTGTGTGTGTGTGGTAAAAGTCCAGACAATCGGCAAGTCTGGACCCCCTTTCCCTCCAAATTTTCCAGACTTTCAAGGGTTTACTGTCCAGTATATTTGGGTGCCTCCAAATACCTAGCCACACCTCCAAAGATGTGTTCTCGATACCCTCACGAGTCATCACTTCTACTTCCCAACTCTCGTCATAGGATAGCCCAAAGATTTTATATCGGATTAAGGTCACATCCCCTACTCGGCCAGTCAATAACCTCTACTTCTAGGTGCACCTGAAACCACTCCCTCACTATCCTGCCGGTGTGTATTGGGCTTCGGTCTTGCACTAACTTGATTGTGTTGGATGCAGGGATGGCCATGGCTTGCACCGAAGACAGAAAGACATCTTCCAGAATTCATATACTGTCCAGTACTGTATACTGTACTGTACTCATTACTGTCGAGCGGTCCCTCAATTCTGACGAGTTCACCAGGGCCGTGAGCCCTCATCCATCCCCAGACCACTGCAGTGACTTGTCCACATGATTTCATCCCTGTGATGTATTGAGGGAGTTACCTGGTGTTCCTTGCACCTGCTGCTACAAATTTAAATGTTTTTCATCTGTTAAAATCATGGTCTTCCAATAGTCAGGGTCAACTGGACTTATAAAGGAAATTAATTATTGTATAATTATCTTTGAGACCACTGTTTATAAATTGTTAATCATTCTTTTTTAGGTGTGCAAGCACCTCAGTCATATGACTTCAGCTCTCCAGTTCTCTCTCATACAAGAACCAGGCTCAACTCTTCATCCTAAATCAACAGATTTTACAACATCTGAGTCAGATATGGTGTCCAGTGTGTGGCCCTGCCAGGATCGTTCTCAATATCAGTTTATTTATAAGCAGTATATGATGCTAATGGAAACATTTCAGAGCCATTTTAATCATCATGCCAATGATCTTCATTAGATCATAAAAAAACTATGCCTACTTAAGTTTTTCTCCATATACAGTCTGTCAGTTCTTAATGTTGTGTTGCTATGTTGTTTGGGACATGTTAATCTCTTACCAAGATAATATATTAAATTGATAAATTTTTATATTACATAGACACTAGGCTGTGCAGGTTACCAGTCCAGGTTGTATCCAGATAAGTGATATTTCATGTTCTTGTTCCTGGCACTTGTCTGGTGAACAAGTTAATATTTTGAGAGGAAAATACCCAGACAGGAATTTGTCAGGTGCCAAGTGACCCCACTTCCCTGTATACATGGTTAACCAGTGTGTGTGTGTTTGTGCGTGTGCACTTAACCTGACACCATTTCGTGATGGCACATCCGAGTTGATCCCTGACCTTTCTGTTCCCATAATGACCTAACCTGCTAAAAAAAGCCCAGGTGCAAAGGAAGCAAAGAAAATTGGCTGGATTAGGGTGAAGGGCAATTAGATAGACCCGAGTGGTTTAAGAGTTGATAGACACAATACATTTGGATGTTTTAAGATTTATTTAACTTTTCCCATAAAAAAAAAACAAGTAAATTTCCTCCAAAATTTGTCAGGGCAAGTAAATTGTTCCACATAATCTGCTCAGCCTAATACCGACATCATTTCTTATGCATAAGCAACCCATCCATGTAAGAATATTAATGTACTGGTAATAGCTTTTTATATTATATCACAAGAAAATTAATGTTTTAGTTTAACATGGACACTTAACCTGGATTATGTTTATGTAATTTGTTGATGAATAAATGTTTTATAGATTAATAAACCATCAACTTAATCACATTTTCTTACATACACAAGAGGTAATTGGTGCCCTCTTGCAGGATCCAGGGGCAGGGTTCTTAGGCGAGATGTGTAGAGGCGCACCAAAAGCAGAAGGGTTTTGGCAAGTAGGCCCTATTGTACCAATAACCTAGTCAACGATTATCAGTATACACTACATGTATTAACAAGCTGCATATATGGGTTTAGAAGTTTTACTAATATTTTTGAGGGGTTCAAATTTATGCATTTCCGGTGAATGGTAGCTACCCAGTACATGCTCACAGTATGCTAACCTTACCAGTAAGCTCCATTATCCTGGGCTTACCTGTCATACCCCTAGATTCTTTCTTTATGTTGCTACATGAAAAGCAGAGCCTCATTCACTATACTGTATATACTGCTTTAAATCTAAAAATACCTCGTGCAAATGAAGATTTACAGATGATTTTCCTTTCATTTGCATCTGTTAACATCCCTGGTGGCATTGTTGCCAAGTTAAGCTCATCACTGTAGCCACATCCCCATAGCTCTCCCTCTCACTACCAGGTAGAGCTGTGAGCTATGTTATGGTTAATTTTCAACCCATACCTTCAGGTAGACATACTTAATTTCCTTCTTTTTTTTCAGTTACTTGCACACAATCCTACATACAGAATGTGCAAAACCCCCAAAAATTAATTATTGCAAGGTTGAAATATATAAAGGGATTAAATATTTCTTTGTGTGCAACAGTTAGCATGCTTAGCAAGTGATCCTGAGACTCATATGTAAGGCGATTCATAATTAGTGTGTTCATAAGCTCCAGTAAACTACCGGTATGTTGGATTTGCTCTTGAGTTTGTTTGATTAGAAGAAAAAAATGCCTGACCTCTTTTTCAATACTGGTATTACTGATTAAGTGATGGAATATCAAGGCAATATAAACCAATCAAACCTAGAGCATGATTCCCCAAGGATGGTCAATTGAGATTCTGGTAGTACCGGCAAATTTCCAATACAGTACTGACAGATGTACTTGGTTATAAAGGTCAACATGGATAAAATAGTTCCCCATTGGATAAATACATCGGTTATGAGTGGGCAGAACAACGGCTTTAAGCTAATTTGTTGATCAAATAAATTCTGTACTGGAAAAATATCGTGCATGTGTACTGTACACTATATTTCAGTCACTGTAACAGAATTATAGGTTCACTTACATTTCTTTTAAGTAACTGATTACCTTCAATAATAAACTCGTAAATTAATTACCTTGACATTAGGGAGCATAATAACAGATTATTTGTACATCAGCCATCAAGAAGTACCTGTATCAAGCTATGAGCAAGAACAATTTTGCATTCTTAGAAATATATTTCATACACTACACATATTCTCCATTGAGATTATAAATCCTAAAATATCATCTGGTCAACAATATACTTCAGATTCCTTATCTTAAAGTAGCCTTCTTCTGCCAATACATACCTGTTTTTGAAGACTCAAAAACAAGAAGCTAGTTTACAATGTTTTTTCTATAATGCACTTTTTTTTAATTACTGCTTAAAATCATTATTTTTCATGTGATTCCAATGTGTTAGGTGCTTTGGATGTGATTGTTTCACACTCAGTGAGTACCTCTCTCTTAAAACAGCTGCTAGGAAAGCTGGCAATGCTATCAGGGAGGCTTTGCAAATACCAATTCTTCCCAGGCAGACTGGACGAGTTTGTTTGTTTCCACTTAGAGCCCTCCAAGGAGGTCTAACAAACTATACCTAAATATGGTTTGGGAAGGTTAGGTTAGGTTAGGTTAAATAGGTTTAAGTTCTTTAGGCAACTGCTGAGGTTAATCATATATAGTCTGTTCCTGCACAGTACTACACTTATCTAAATGACTGTTATATATATATATATATATATATATATATATATATATATATATATATATATATATATATATATATATATATATATATATATATATATATGCTGATAACCACAAGGAAAGAAGAAAACACGAAGTTCCCAAGCGCTTTCGTGTAATTCACATCTTCAGGGGTGAGTACAGACTAAGGAGTAATACTTGACAAGGCTAATATATACAGTAGAGGAGAGTGAGATCAAGTCCCTAGGGGACAGCAGGTGTCCACAATGTTCCGGTCATAAGGCAGTGACCTTTACTAATCTTCTTAATCAAAGAAAAAGTGACCATGCCATCTCTAAGCACAGCAGCTGTCCGTAGTCAGATCATTGGGTAATATGACCCCTGAAGATGTGGATTACACGAAAGCGCCTGGGAACTTCATGTTTTCTTGTTTCCTTGAGGGTATATATATATATATATATATATATATATATATATATATATATATATATATATATATATATATATATATATATATATATATATATATATATATATATATATATATATATATATATATATACAGTGAACCTTCACTTTACGCGGTTAATTCAACCCACGGCGGCCCGCGTAAAGTGAACAACATAACATATGGGATTAATTAAAATAGAGACCGGGCCGACCCCGAAACTCCACTTTTTCAGACACAATACCTACGTTGTAGTAAAAATGACTTCTTAATTTTATGATGGTATGCACACACAATTAATAATTAAGAGAAATATCAATAATATTAGGTTTTTTAACACTTACATTAGTAGAAAAGATCGCTGGTTCCGAGGCAGAGGGCAGATTATTGGCCCTCACCTGTATCACTTGTATCAATTGTATCACTATCCACCACAGAGGCTTGCAGGGCCTCTTTGTCAAACCCCTCAAAGTCCATATAAGTCCATATTCTCACTATAATTATCACTATCACTGACTTGGGCCGGCTGTGGTGGGTGGCGGGTGAAGAACTTGGTAATGTTTTGATGACTGGGCGACCTTGTGCGCATCGTGCCCGCGCCGCTTCCCGCATATATGAGTAGATGAACCGCGTTAAGTGAAAGTTCGGTTCTGGCGAGGCACCGCGTATATGAGAAATCCCGTTAAGTGAAACCGCGTTAAGTGAAACCGCGTTAAGCCTAATATTAAATGCTATTTTCTATATAAATAATGTACCATAATATATACTGTACATAGTTAACATACATAATACAATACATGTGATTAAAACCTGAGATGATTAAGCTTGAAGGAAACTCATTGTTATCAAAGTAATGGAAACTATTTTCTGAATTTTTGGTAGCAATTTGCAAATGTGTTATAGTATTGGCATTAACAAATGGGTTAATTAAGAACAGCATTTCTGATTGAGGATTACAATAAAAAAAAACATGGGTGGAATATTGCAGTTATTGAGTTAAGTTTCTGCTTAACGCTTATGTTTGGCACACCATTTTGAGCACTACATTGGTTGTAGCCATGCGATATGCTCTCCACACACACTATTCATTCATTACTGCTTCTTCCTGGCCACTAATGATCGAATCTTGCACCACAGTAGTTGTAGGAAGCCCCCACGTTGTTCCTTAGGCAGCTTCCACATACCCAGCTGCTTCTTCTCAGCATATTCCTGAGCTTGGAGAAGTCGCTTGTAGTGTTTGATGTAACAAGGGTCGTGATGCAGCTCTAGGTCCATGGGTGCTGTTAGGGCCAGCCCCTCACGCACCAGTTGTTCATTAATACTTCTGGAGAACAACTGTAACAAACAAGAATCACATAACTAATAAACTAACACATTAAAATGTGTAGTTTATTTAAATCATACACATTAATGAATGTAGATCACCAAACACATGCACATTATGTAGATTAACTTAACATTTAACTTAACACACACTAAAAATATTTTGTAAATCACCAAAGACAAAAACATTGTGTACATCACCAAAAACAACCACAATGTGTGTGTGTACATCACCTAACACATACACATTGTATACATCACCTAACACACACATTGTGTACATTCTGTTGGTCACCTAACGCGCATTTTATGTAGGTTAATTAATAGATGTAAAATGTATAAATTGGTTGTTAGCACCTTTTCACCATAATCATCATAGGGTGCAGGTTGGAACCGAACCAGAGATAACTGGGAAGCACAAATCTACCTTGGCTGGCTTGACAAGGGAGACGAGAGTGTTGTCATCAGTGTTGTGGGAGATGAGGGTGAACCAGGTCCTGCGTCTCAGCAGGTGGGCCCTGACATGTGCCACACCTGCACCTGTCACCTGTAACACAATAACCTGCAATTAGCACCACCAATTAACCTGTTACTATCTCACCAGGGGAGAATTATCCATTTTATATCCCAAAAGCTTAAGGGGATTAAGAAATTTTTTTGATATGGCAATAAAACACATATGACAAGAACTCTGCCATAAGACCTCTTTTAAAGTTTAGAGCATTCAATTCTTTTAATGTGTGAATTCAATACAGTATTCTATGACTTTAAATAACATGGACCTTTACCTCAGTGGTTTGGGACTTTAATCTATACTGTACATCTACTGTACTGTCAGTTTATCAACATAACTTCATTCTATAGAGGGATGAAAAGGATTATGAAACTTATAGGGAAATATATAAACATGCATTTTTAGAAAAGTGTAATTCAACTTGTTGAAATGTCACACCATTTATCCTCAAGGGGCATCAACTGTTCATCAAGCAGTTAGCAACCAAAGTGTGTCCTGGGAAGGAAGTACTGTATACGTTACAGTACCTCAACATCTGCCAACTGGAGAGGCAACAGGTTATCACTCTTCTGCCATTGTAGAGGGATGACAGGTGCATGCTCCACCTGGTGGTAGAGAGGGTACCCAAATACTTGTAATACAAAGTCTATATATGATAACAATGAATACTGAATTGATATGACGGAAAGATTCATATTATGAAATGTTGACAAAAAATAATATTTAAGCTAAGTATCATATTTTACAAAGAAGACACTAAGGGTTACACCTTTAGAAAGAGTGGACGGAGGTCTTCATCATAGTATATCCTAGTAACATCAGGATCAATGTCGTTCTCCCATGGGTGGAGCTCCCCAGCACCCTCGTATATCCCCCTATTCCCCTCACTTAAGCTCTTGGGTCCTTGCAACCTCAAGTTTTCTCTTGTTGTGGCTTCAGCAACATTAGATGGGGATGATTTGGATCCATTTTTGATGTGTGGTAACACACTATGTTTATCAGGTGGTAGAAGTGCAGGCATGGGTGGTGTGGCACCCACCCATCTCACATGCCCGTGAAGTCTCACATGCTTCGTTATAAATTCCTTTGGGATGTCCTGGATGTGCACAAACTTTGTGAACTGAAACAATGGGCAAGATAATCTTTTAAGTAATAGTGATGCAAATGCTCAAGACACATACATTTTAAAACATCACCTCTCTTTATATCTATTTGTGTATCTATGCACCATTTTCTCACACTATAACCAATGAACATACACACACACACACACACACACCTACTCATCTCAAACAAAAACACAAGAGATTTACAAACACCCAAATCAAAATAAATATCTTACTGTATTAAACTTATAAAACCAAGTACAGTACAGTATATGCAAATGCATCCTCAAACATCCCTTGAACACAAATACAAACATAAATCCAACAAATGTAGATATGCATGTACATAAAGCCAAGTTGGATTCTCATGATTTGATGCAATAGTCCTTGATATAAGTCTCTTGGGAAGGTAAAATATTTCCCATAGATTATCTTAACTACTGTATATTGTATGAGAAAATTCCTAATTACAGATGAGTATCTTAATGTAATTCATCGTGTATCGTGGAATTGGGAACACAAAACTCTGGTGGGCAGATGAGATAGTCAGGGGTAGTGGGCAAGGAAAGGAGGGATGGTGGGCAAGATAGGGTAGTGAGGTTTGGTGGGCAAGATTGTGATGGGTGGTGGACAGGGTTGTGGTGTGTGGTTTACAGGGTTGTTATGGGTGGTGGACACTGGACAGGGTTGTGATGGGTGGTGGACAGGGTTGTTGTGCATGATGGACAGGGTTGTCATGGGTGGTAGACAGGGTTGGTCATGTCGTTTCCTTGGGTACTGAAGGTGGCCCACTTTCATTAAACAGCTATACTCATTAAGACATATTAACAGACACCTTTTTTAACATATGTACTTATTGGCAGATAATTAGTATGGGAGCTGCACTTATGAATACAGTACACACTCATTAACAGATGCACTCTTTTATAAGATGCAGTAAGGCAGAGTTACACTGACCGCTCGAGCACTGTGCAGCACTAGCAGAACGCCTGCTGCCCCGCCCACGTAGATACAATACTGTAAAATAAGTCATTGATTTTAGTTTCTTATTAATGAATATATACTGTACTAAATTTGTAAATTACATGATGCTATTAGTTTTGCTCTCCTGTTAACCTTCATCTTACTATAAAAAATAAATTATAAAGATTATTTAACAAAGTACTAATTAGGCCTATGAAGAAATGTGCAGTACAGTACATAGAATTATAATTGATAAGAAAATCATGATACCTCAAGTTATGAAGCTTGTTTGTATAACACCTTTTAATTAAACTGAACACTATCCATAAGCATAATACAATACATGCACAGAGGCAGAGATACCCACACACACACACACAGTGACACACACACACACACACACACTTTTCAAATCTGTTTCCTCACTCTTGAAGGATGGCTAGAATCAAAAGCAGCACAGGCTCTCCTTCATTAGCTGCTATTCATTCATTCTTACTGATTTAACACAATATAGTGCTAATGTTGTAGTGAACACAGTGCTAGTTTTATAGTGAACAATAGTGCTAATGTTGTAATAAATATGTAGTGTCAGTGCTGCTGTGAACAACTGAACTTGTCTAGTGTTGGAATCAACATGTAGTTCTAATGTTGCAGTGAACATAAGGGGGCTAATGGTGATGTAAACATGTAGTGCTAGTTTTATCATGAACAGGTAATGCTAGTACACTACTGTATATAGTCAACATGTAATGCTATTTTTATAGCGATGTTAACATGTAGTTGTAGTGTTATACTGTAGTGAGAATCATGAACATACAATGATAGAAATGTAGTGAACATACAGCGTGTTGTAGTATTCATTTACTGTACTGCCAATTTTGTTGAGAACATTTAGTACTAGAGTTGCCTTAATCATGTGTTGCTATTGTTGATGTGATGTAGTTGTGATGTTGCCAGGTTTCAGAGTTGTGGGGGTCTAGACAAACAACCGGTGGTGGCCCCTGCCATCCTTTTTTTATTACACAATCAAAAAAACAAACGTAACTACATAGTAAATACGTAATTTTATTCATGTAATTTTACTTTGGGTTTATGGCATTACATACAGGACTGTCAGGACATGGTGAGAGGATAAAAGAAAAAGCAAAGTAACAGAGACGTGATCAAGCGGCTAACGAGCCGCTCAGTGGTGAAGAGGATACAAGTAAAAAAGTATGACAAAAACAACAACAATTTACATAAATACTGTAATTTTTTACCCTCACTTTCTCCTATTTCTAGTCGCGCTAATGGATTATCCCCCAAAGGTTGTTACGTGTGCAACGTCAGAGCACAACAATGTTGTGACAAATATCTCAGCTGCATTCATGGCAGGTGTCGGCTGATAACATGTTTCCGTATAAAACACTACTTTCTACTAATACATATGCTTAGATAAACTTTTCCCCCAAGAAACCGTACATAAGTAACAGTTTAGGACGCTTTTTCCAGCACTACACTTTATCAATTTTATGGTTAAAATAGGATTTCTCTATGGATGATGTTGAGATAATTTTATTGACTTTAACATTAATATCAATAACTTAGTACATGAAAGTGATATAGCGGAAACGCGGGTATCTCTCATCAATATGTCAAGGTTTGAGTCCTGCCTAGCTCCCACACATGTGAGAAGGGTATTATACAGTATGACCCTACTAAACACCACAAGTTTCCCGGAGTCCTGTTTCCTCCTGTAAAAACACTGGTTACATCCGATAGACCAACAGCTAGTAAGCTGAAAAGTGGTGGTGATAAATATCTATATATGCAACTTATTGGCAAGTTATTCTAACTGCATCCATGCTATAAAATTACCCTCATTGAATCATGCCATTAAAAAGATATCTGCACAATTGTTTCCAATTCGCTTTCTTTTTTTTTCAAGTTGATCTTCTCGACCTGTAATTTATGAAAACCTCATTCCTCTGTGCATAAAAAGTGCCTGAATGCTCAGACTATGCAAAATTGTGCTCTAATTTTTTCGATTACGTGTTTCACTTAATTACTCACTCGCATTCACCATGTTTCTTTTGACGCGATACACACTGATATGGTGGACGAATTTAATTTTATACTGAATTATAAACAAAAATTATCGAAATTTCTTAACCTACAAATGCAGGCAAAGGGTAAACAGGAAAACAAGAAGTGTATGTTGCTGTGAACATATAGACTGCGTGTACCAACTTGGGCCCGGCTCATTGCACATGCGTTCCATAACTATATTGTGGAGTATGGGATTGTTTGGTTCCACTCAGGATGGGATGGAGAAAGGAAACTCACAATGTGCTCTTTGTATACATGTTGTATTGGATGTACAATGCAGCTTGGTGCGGGGAAGTGACAGCATGGTTACAAGCGTGATGTAGAGAGAGCTGGTTGGTGAGGGTGCTCAGAGGAGGACAGCTTGTGGGTCGCCATGCTCGCCGGCGGGAGCGAGGGCCGCCAGGCAGCGGCGGAGGAGGTGGTGTTGCTTGCTGCGGCTGTAGCTAGAAGAAGAGGGAGGGCACCACGAGGTCAGGTCTTAAATAGCGGGGGTAGGCGTGGCTTAGTAGTTGACCTCCATGATGTATGGCGGCGCTGGTTGACCCAGACCACGAGGCATACACTGGGGAATTCACGGGGTCGGCTACTCAGCGACAAACAGCGTTTGTAGGGGAGAAATCCACTACAATACTCCCCCCTTCCCTCCAGGCGGTGTAGGAGACTTGTTGTCTGCAGGGTTGCATGGCACATGTGAGGCAGAACGGGCGGTGCATGCCACAGGTGAGCATAACGGCGAGGGCGTGGATGAGCCGGCCGCTAGAGGAGACAACTGTCTAGATACACAATATCTGTGGGAGTAGAGAGGGAGAAAAAGGATGTGTGGAGGCGATGAATGTTGTTTCTTCCCTCACAGCAGGTACAGAGTCGTCAGATGCGCCTGCTGGGGTGTGTGGGCCTGGGTCAGGAGCAGGGGCTGCGTCAGCAGAAGCGGATGAGGGCTCGTGACGGCAGCTGGGTCCACGACAGCAGCAGGGTGCAGGACAGTAGCAGGGGATACCTGAGGGAGAAAAGAGGGGTGTGTGGGTCTGCACTCAGGCGCATGGGCCGCATCGGGAGCAGGGGCTGCATCAGGAGGAGCGACAGGAGGTACTGCTGGGCCGGGGGCGGAGTCTGAGGCAGGACGGGTGTGCTGGGGTTGGTAGGACGTGGTGCTTGGGGCAGGAAGAGGAGCTGGTGTCTGCTTAGAGAAGCAGTGCTGCTCTAGGGTGTCTAACCTGCGGTGTAGAGACAGTAGCTGTAGAGCCGATGAGAGCTGCTTCTGGGTGGATAAGCCAGTCTTCCATGCTGCTTGAAGACTGGGAGCGTGATCTGTTTCTCCTCCATCCTGTGTGAGTGCGAATCTCCGGGGGTCACCATTTGTGGGGTATGGGATTGTTTGGTTCCACTCAGGATGGGATGGAGAAAGGAAACTCACAATGTGCTCTCTGTGTCCATGTTGTATTGGATGTGGCAGCGTGGTTACAAGCGTGATGTAGAGAGAGCTGGTTGGTGAGGGTGCTCAGAGGAGGACAGCTTGTGGGTCGCCATGCTGGCCGGCGGGAGCAAGGGCCGCCAGGCAGCGGCGGAGGAGGTGGTGTTGCTTGCTGCGGCTGTAGCTAGAAGAAGAGGGAGGGCACCACGAGGTCAGGTCTTAAATAGCGGGGGTAGGCGTGGCTTAGTAGTTGACCTCCGTGATGTATGGCGGCGCTGGTTGACCCAGACCACGAGGCATACACTGGGGAATTCACGGGGTCGGTTACTCAGCGACAAACAGCGTTTGTAGGGGAGAAATCCACTACAATATCATACCAAGGTATCAATAAACCCCAGGCGTAGGAAGGATGCTGAACCTCAACACAGAGTATGCACACTTGGCTGTTTATTAGGTTTTATTGAGAACTAAACTCCGTCGATGGCCACATTCCAGAAAAAAATAATACAAAGAACGCGCAACACAATTTCCTTAACTAACACAATAAAACACGTTCATTGTTGATATATTATTTCCTGTAAGACAGGGTCACTGGGATGAGTACCAAAGTTTACTGTATATAGTCCTTGGTGAGACTGCCTCTTGATAACACGTGTGTTGCCAAAATAAACACGTTCCAAAGTTATTGTTTCTCATAAATATATTTAAATTAATTTAACATGTGACTTTGCAAACACTGAACAACTTAATATCAAAGGCGTTTGCATATTATGAACTTCAATACTTTGAATGAATGAATAAAGATTCATTGGTTGGTGTTGGTGCCACGATGAAGTGTGGTACCTCACTTTCAATCTAATCAGCTTTATCAGAGCGGCGAAGATCCCAAACCCAGGTTCTACACCACTGCCAGGAATATACTGTAATGACAAAACATTTATAATGAAAAATTCTGGATGTTACAATAACGAATCTCCTTAAATGTGTAATACGTATATATTTTCAGGGTGGGGCAAAATTCTCGCATTATAGGAGAAATATTTTCACAATACGAATTATTTCACCACTGTTGACTTTTCTTCATCAGTTATGCTTTTCGGTCTGCTACTGTGATCATCAGCAATTTTTCCCGTTTCTTTAAATCAATTTATTAATATTTCTGCTGTTGATTGATCAATTGATCTCCAATTTTGATTTTTATGTTAATTCTGCAATTAATCGATGTGTTGCACTCGAGTCTGCATTCATAAATACATATAACTCTTATATTTTGTTAATTTTCCATCCGTATTACTAAGCTCTTCATTAAAACTGATAACCACACAGGAAAAGGGAAACACTGGTGCTCCTGTGGGGGAATTTAGATGACTTGCAAATAGACGGACTGTACAACTAAACATATTGACTACTTTATAAATTTTATAATGTAAAAACACAAAATTTTACTCTATTAATTTTAATTATTTGGTTACTAATAGAATAACGACAAAACCATGATAAGAATTCTTTCCTCTTGTTAAGGGAAGTCCACTAACAAAATCTGACATACGATACTCATACAAGATTAGCTTTTATGGATATTAAAATCATTAGTATACATAAAATAAAAAAAGTAAAATTAAATGACAAAATTATATAATTCTCCTTCCTACATCTACATTTACAACATATAAATTTAAAAACATTTTAATTCTTGCCTTGTTATTATATATATACTGTACTGTACAATATTCCAGGTGTTTTTATATGTATTTCAGTAAAAATATAGCTTTAAATATCCTTTTTTATGGTACAGTACCTGGAGAAGTGCAGACACAGGGCACTCAATACTGTATTAAGCCTCGATACACAAGGAGGCAACGTGGCCGGCACTGAACTTGACCGTCTTTTAACAAAGGGAAAAGTATATAGTGTTCTTTAGTTTGAATTATAAGATACACCATGCATCGGGTATTAGTTTGATTTTAAAGTTGAAATTATTTTTGACCTTTATGGCAGTTATGAGGTTAGAGAAAATTACATTATTAAATTTGAATGAAACATCTTCAGTGTTTAACATAAAAAAGAAGCATATTAATATAACACGAACAATTAAACCTTTTATGAGGTTCATACCTATGTAGCTCAATAAATACTGGATTCTTTGTATCTTTACCGTCTTTGTTCAAATTTCACAAACAAAAATTATCAATGTTGCGCTGCCAGTACGGATTGTATGAAACAGTGCTTTAGAATTGTTTGCCTTTAAGCACAGGATGTTTATGCAAATAAGTGTCCAAAACTATAAGAACCTTTTCAGAATATGTAACGGTTCTCAAGCGGAAGAGGGGGGGGGAGGGGGTGTTCAAATATTGAGGGGTCAGTAGGCACCCGTGACAGTGTGGGGGTTGGCAACTGGCAGGTGTCCCGACAGTTGTGTACCTCTTGCTTATCGATCGATTACGTTGTCATGGCAACGACTTTATCAAATCAGAAACTAAGGTTTTATAAACTTTTGAGTAAAACAATTGTATTGTATACTTCATAATATATATAATTTAAATTTTAAAACATTTTCAAAATATTTATTTTGTGTTCGGACTTAATAAAATAAATATAAACGCAATATGAGCGTGCGCAAAGCAGCTCCTCCAGTTGTAGACAGCGGGCACCAGCTGGCAGCGACGACAGGAGGGGGACTGATCGGTTGCCTGCTGCAACTCTTCACAACACGCTACCTGACAGACAACTTAAAAGTAAGTGATCTACTAACCTGTATAATCCTGATGTTATTATCAATGAAGTGAGTGAGTTTTGCGAAGGAACAAGAAAGATTATTGTAGAAACTGGACGGGGGTTGTGGTGCGTCGTCTGACATTGTTGTGTGTATTGATCTTCCTCATAGGCACTGCGTTCGGTTCACTGGCTGTGGCTTCTCAAAATTATACGTTGGTAATATGTTGGCTATTGTAGGCCTCATAATCACGTATGGTTTTTAGTGTTAGTTTTTTGGGTAAATTATTCATTTGTTTATATTTGGGAAAATACAGTGACTCTTCATGAACGTTACGCCATGTTATAAAAAATAAGTTTGAAGTAAAGGCAGGGAAAGGGACGCGGCCGAGTGTGGTGCGAGTCATAACTGAGCTGTGACCTACCACATACCGGGTTTTACCTTCAGGCCATAATTTTTATTTTTATAAACCATGAATGATTTTACAATTCATATATGCTTGTCTTAGAGCTTTAGTATAATTAATCATTGGTTATATTGCTGTTAGTTAACTGAACTGATAAGAGAACAAACAAGGGCACTGAAACTGTAGTGAGCTGTATTGGTCTCATCCATATGATTGCAAAGATGTTTTAGAAAAATTACGGTATGTGATACAATATAATTATTTTCACAACAAGGAAAAGTATATCAAATATAAACTACGAGTGAGTCTTGTAAAGGTATGTACTGTACCAAGGACTGTAAACACGAATCTGTATTCCTTGTTTGGATTGTTTGCATGCCCAAATGGTTTACATGTGAAATCCCATTAATAAATAAGGAAATATTAGCTAATTACTTAATGATTTATAACTTGTGAATGTCATAGCTCTGAGTATAGTACTGTAATGGAAAATGTTTCTATTACATAAAAGATCCAAGAATGGATCCATCGTTATCATCCTTCAATTATTTCTGTGGTGTAAAACATATAGGGGCCTCTCTGGCCATGTAGGTCCTGCCTGGTCATTCATATAGGTCCTGCCTGGCCATGTAGGTCCTGCCTGGCCATATAGGTCCTGCTTGGCCATATAGGTCTGCCTGGCCATTTAGGTCCTGTCTGGCCATTAAAGTCATGCCTGGCCATATAGGTCTGCCTGGCCATTTAGGTCCTGTCTGGCCATTAAAGTCATGCCTGGCCATATAGGTCCTGCCTGGCCACATAGGTGCTGCCTGACCATATAGGTCTTGCCTGGCCATATAGGTCCTGCTTGGCCATATAGGTCTGCCTGGCCATTTAGGTCCTGTCTGGCCATTAAAGTGATGCCTGGCCATATAGGTCTGCCTGGCCATTTAGGTCCTGTCTGGCCATTAAAGTCATGCCTGGCCATATAGGTCTGCCTGGCCATTTAGGTCCTGTCTGGCCATTAAAGTGATGCCTGGCCATATAGGTCCTGCCTGGCCACATAGGTGCTGCCTGACCATATAGGTCTTGCTTGGCCATATAGGTCTTGCCTGACAGCATAAGGCTTGCCTGGCAGCATAAGTCCTGGTTAGTCAAACGGCCTGCTTGGCCACATATATAAATCCAGCTTAGCAATATAGGTCTTGCTTAACTAAATAGGTACTGCTTAGCCATATAGTGCTATCTTGCTTAGACATATAGTGGCTGCTTTCAGTATACAGTATATATAGTGATCAGCATTTTGGGGCTTGGTCAGCATTGTAGCATCTGGTTAACAATATAGTGTGAGGTCCAGCTCACAATACTGGGGTCTGGCTGACAATATAGTGTGAGGTCCAGCTCACAATACTGAGGTCTGGCTGACAATATAGTGTGAGGTCCAGCTCACAAAACTGGGGTCTGGCTGACAATATAGTGTGAGGTCCAGCTCACAATACTGGGGTCTGGCTGACAATATAGTGTGAGGTCCAGCTCACAATACTGGGGTCTGGCTGACAATATAGTGTGAGGTCCAGCTCACAATACTGGGGTCTGGCTGACAATATAGTGTGAGGTCTAGGTAGAGATACTGGGGTCTGACTGACAATATAGTGTGAGGTCCAGCTCACAATACTGAGGTCTGGCTGACAATATAGTGTGAGGTCTAGGTAGAGATACTGGGGTCTGGCTGACAATATAGTGTGAGGTCTAGGTAGAGATACTGGGGTCTGGCTGACAATATAGTGTGAGGTCTAGGTAGAGATACTGGGGTCTAACTGACAATATAGTGTGAGGTCTAGTTAGTAATACTGTGTAGGGTCTACTTGGCAGTATGATAACTTGTTTGTACTACTGTACAATAATATAATATCTGGTGAACAGTATACAGTACAGGACAGTACATGTATAGGGTATATAGTGTCTGCTTGGTAATACAGTACTGTGTAGGGAATGGTCTGCAACATCATGAAATTTGTGGTTGACAAAATAGAGTTTTATCGGATTTGCTTAGCAATGTAGAGATTAGGGTCAGATGGCAATTTCAAGTTTTTTATTAGCTTTAGCCATGTGGTTTTGTTAGCTTTCCATGATCTTGGAAGTGTTTAAGGATACCACATTAATATTTTGTTATTCCACAATTATTTTGCAGGAAGTGTACCAGTATTTCTATTTGTGGTTTAACATCTAGACCTCCCTATGTATAAAGTGACTGCCTGTGCTTGTGGTGATTTGAAAAGAACACAATAATGTGACTGATATTAACAAGAATGAACCACTGAGTATAATTTTATCAAGAACAAACCATGAGTAATATACAGTACTCAGTAGTTAGTGTGTACTGTACTATTTACAGTAAAAACCCCATAATTTGTAATACAGTAATAGGAGCTCTGGCCCTTACAAATTAAGAGATTTTACGAAATATGAGGGACACCTACCGAGGGGGAGAAAACGGTATTTACACGTCATCTGCCATATCAAAATTTAAACGTTTCTAGGTACAATCCCAGATTTAAGTACTTGATCCAGGGTTATCAGACATACATGTAATTGCTCAAACACTGGGCAGTGATGGAAAAGCAAATAGGAAAAAGCTTGCGCAGTAGACCGTTGATGGACAATCCACAACTGACTAACGTGAACTGACCATGACCAACAAGTGTGACAAACATACAGTAGTACATGTTTACACTGAGGTAGGTGGTTGGCAGTCGCACCCCATGGCGACATGTGCGTCATATACAGTATATTCGAAAATGTCTCATAATCAGAAATTTTACCAAATATTACAAAAATTCATATATATATATATATATATATATATATATATATATATATATATATATATATATATATATATATATATATATATATATATATATATATATATATATATATATATATATATATATATATGCACTCAGCAAAGCACCAAAGGCATGAAGGCATTGGCTCAGTGTTAATGGTATAGGGGCAAAAAATCATTCTATGATTACAGATTCTGTACTGTGCAGTATGTGTACACATTGTTTCATGTAAAATATGAATTGGAATGCAAGAAAAAATAAGACATCAACCTGTCTGGTTAGCAATACTGTATTGTATGGCATCTAGGTAGCAGAATGGGGTCAGTTTAGCAATGTAGGATCTGGTATTATAAGTCCTTGTTATTATAAGCCTAGTTGGCAGTATAACATGTGATCTGTTGCATTATAAGGCCTGGTCAGTACTGGAGGGCCTACTTGACAGTACATTACAGTCAATCACATCAGGATTTTTAGTAGTTTATGTCTGAAGGGGAAAGTAAATTGTAACAATGATGACAAATATTCGGTACATACAGTGTCCCAAAAATAAGATACACCTTGCAATAAAACACATGCCAAATAATACCCTGTATTTTGTTATATTATTTAATATTTTGTCATGTTTCCCATTGATTTTGAGACTGTTGTACTTGAAGTTGATTAGGCATGGATTCAGCAAATATTTGGAACTAATCATAACTCATATCTATTATTCAGATCTGCTTGATCTTCTCTTGCTGACGAGGTACTGATGACGTGTTCCATGCTGACAGTTTGTGTTTTATCTGATTTCTTGCATTCTTAATGGGAATTAGGCCTGTTTAGCCAGGCCACCCTAGCATTCAAATTTTCTTACACACACACACACACACACACACACACACACACACACACACACACACACACACACACACACACACGCACATTTTTTTATGGTGGCATGGTGAGATGGTGTTCAGCTCCTTTTGAAGTTGGTGTTGAGTCGTTCGTTCAGACACATCTTGAAGGAGGCTGTGGTAGACTTTTTACCAGTTCTCATCTCATAAGCAGATAGCACATGTTTTATCTGTACTAACAAGAAACCTAATGAGACTGGAAACAAAGTGAACACTGAAATGATAAGACAACATCTATAATAATTATATTATCTTCGTAATACATTGACTCCCATTTATTAATTTGAGATACATTCTCTTAAAAAACAAAAAAATCCCTGCTTGACCCCTGATAAGTAATGGTGTAAATGATTCTGTTACAGACGATTGAGTTATGTTGACACAGATTCAGGCATCATGATTCAAGGAGTCTTGGTTCCTTGTTTACTATTGATTTTATTTTGCTTTCGCATTGCCCTCAAACAAACACAAAAGTGATAGCTCTGAATTTAACTGTGCTAAAGGAAATGTAAAGTCCCAAGTGTAAAATAAAGAGTTTTTAATATTCTGCAAAAACTGGGCCAAGAACAGTCTATTCTGGCTCGTCTCAGCTGATGGTTCACTCATTGCCGGCATTCTTCACTTCCAAAATCCACACTTGCTCTTACAAATTTATGGTTTTGTTTTACATAATTAGCATATATTTTCCAAGCATTATATCACACACTTAAATGCTGTACTGTACTGTATACAGTTTTTGTAATTGTAGTTTTACTGAGGAAAAATAAAAAACAATACCTGTTTTTGTACATTCTTTTTCCCTAATATATAATGATTGCCTCTGCCTTGCCTAAGGGTGTTTTTCTTCTTCCAGAGGCATGGTGAAGGAATGCAACACTAACAGCTGAGCCTGATGGAGCAAATCAATGTACAAATGCAAGCTTACTCACACCTGCTGTTATCCTTGACAAAGTAACCCTGTAAATTGCTGACATGAGTACTAACATTGATGGAAATTAACTGGTTTTTGCTTGGTGGATGGTGTAGTGGTTACTATTAACATAGAAATGTAGAAATAATTTGTGCCATATTTGTACATTGCTAGTCTTTTCTAGTCTTAACAAATTTTAAAAAGTAAAAAAGTTTCTACCATTCACTTTTTCATTATAAAACTTGCTTGCCCAATAAAAGTGCCTTGCTCATACCTGAGGCAGTACTTGATTTACGAAAACATCATAATGGGGGAATTCATAATTGAATGCACGCTCTGTGGATCCTCATTTGGTTGTGAGAAAGATTATGATTCCCATCCTTGTTTGGAGGCAGATGTCAAAGTTCCTTTTAAAATCAAAGTGGAACAGGGTGGGGATGAAGAGGAGAGAGAGCTTGAAAGTGAGGCTCAGCATATGTTAGATCAAGCCTCAAGTTCTAGTAATCAAAATGCTGTTCTCTTGTCAAGTATCAAAGAAGAGCCATGTGAATTTATGGATGTTGAAGATGAGGATCCACTTGATTTAAAAAATGAAGTGGAAGACAGGGATAAACAGCAACCTAAAGATGAAACTGAGGCTACAGAAGAAAACACTGAAGAGGATGTAGATCATGCAAGTGAAGAAGAGGATGTTGAAGAACTTGACGTTATGGATCCCAATACTAAAGTGGATAAAGTTACGGATGCTGTATCAATTCGTAATGAATGTGGTGTGTGTGGAAAAAGATTTTATCGGAGAGAAGATTTTCTTAATCACACAACGAATTCTCACAAGATACCCAGACCATACCAATGTAAAGTATGCAAGAAGAGATTTACTCAAAAGCATTATGTTACTCTACATATGAGAGTTCATACCGGTGAGAGACCCTATAAATGTAAACTCTGTTCCAATACTTATTCCCATAAGACAAGTTTTACTATTCACATGCGAATTCATACTGGAGATCGACCATATATGTGTGGGGTCTGTGGAAAAAAGTGTTATGACAAGTCTGGTCTAACAAGTCACATGAGATCACATACTAAAGAGACTCCATATGAATGTGAAGTCTGTGGACGACGATTCACCCATTCCAAGAGTTTATTAGTCCATCGTAGGAATCATACTGGCGAGAAACCCTATAAATGTCAGTACTGTGGTAAATGTTTTAGGCATTGGCATAAACATAAAATTCATATCAGGCTACACACTGGAGAAAGACCATATAGATGTAATGTTTGTGGTAAAGGTTTTCCACGTAATGATGAAGTGAAACGACACATGAGAAGTCATCAGGGAATAAAATCATTCAAATGCTCCATATGTGGTGTATACTGTGCTACTCAAGCAAGTATTACAGGACATATTGATCTTCACCATGCAGACTTAAGGCAAGTCAATCCAAATGCTCCAGAAAAGACTGTTGTAAAGAATAGCCATTCTGGGATTCTTGGGACAAAAGCACCTCAACCAAGGACGATTTATAAGCCCATTGCCTCAGTAGCTAGCCAAAGCACCTCAACTCAAGCTAGCCCCATTCAGACAACTTCAATGATGACAACTAACAAGAATGCTTGTAAAATTAGTGTGAAAAAAGATCTTAACAAAGTAGAGGATACACCAGAGAGCAAGACACAAACTAAGGAAGCTGAGAAGACTAAAGTTCTCAGTTATAAAGAGTTCATTGAATTGCAAGAAAAATTGTTAATGTGTAAGGGTTTGACAGTTAAGGATCCACAGGGAAATTCATCCCTCAGGAAGTGCAATGATGATGGGAGTAGTGACAAGAATGATGGTACTCACACAAAAGATCAGAGTACAGGTACTACCACCCTATATCAGAATCCCAAACCACAAGTGGGTATCACTAGACCAGTTTTGGACAGTGGTGGTCTGGGTAAAAAGATAATGGTGTTGTCAACACAAAGTGGCCAGAAAGGGGAGGGTACACGATTTGTGGTACCACAACCATTGACTGGTAACAAACATGTAATAGTTACATCTTCTGGATCAAATACAACTGGGCAGCGTCTGGTTATACGACAACCTTCTTTGTTTATGCCTCAGACTCAAGTAGGTGGAAACCAACAGTTAGTTCTGCTTTCTAAACCTGGAGGTCAACAAAATTCTATGATGCTAGCACAACCAATGTTTTTAGTATCTGGGGGAAATTCCCAATGTATGGTACTAGTGCCCTCAAATTCTACCTCTGGATCTAACACAGGTGGTCTTCAAACTTTATTACTTCCTACTACAGGTGTGAACACACAGGTGAACAATGGAACTGCTGATACTCCAGCCACCGAAGTAATAGTGAAGCAAGAGCCTGGGGAGGTTGCAACAACCACCATTTCTTCACCAAAGATTGTAATAAAAGAAGAAACAGGTACACAGTTACCAGGTGGAATAATGGTTAAACAAGAACCAGTAGATGATACTTCCACAACATCTTGTAGTTTTGGTAATATAGTTATAAAACAGGAGCCACAAGACTAGTTGGCAAACTAACCAATGTTTATTACATTGTGGTTTAAGACACTTATAATTTAATATTATAGAGTACTGTACTGTATATTAAAACCTTTAATGCACATACCCAGTGAAGTTTCTTTCAAGATTTCACATTTGAAATGCATGGTGATATTTAACAAATGAAACTTTGGGTATATGTACATATACATACTGTATTCAGAATCAAACTAGTCATTTATAGTGCAACAAGTACTTACAGTAGTGCCACCTGTTGGGTTCTATGATGAAGGTTTTGAGTGCTTCCTTCAAAACCTTAATGGATTCCATCGCTAGTCAGTCTGTTGTGAATTTAAAAAATGCAGGAAATATTAAGAAGTTTCAGGACAGCACCAACAATTGTGGACTGTCCTGTACCAGTACATGTACCTAAAATAACATTCCTCTGTTGTTGTTTAAGGTAACAAATGAGTGCATGTAAAACTTAGTCTAATATTATTTATAAGGAGTTTTATTTTTTCCTAAGTGTGACCAATTTGCTCACAATGCTTTTATTTAATGTTTTGATATACTGTACAGTAATATACCCGTAATTGCAAATATTTATTGATTTTTCTTTAGTATTTATTTTATGAATTTTGTACTTAATTATATAGGTTGATTGGGCTAGTCATTATTATAAATATGGAGATGTACTTAATATCTTTAAGAAATATTTATGAATTATTATGAAATATTTTTTGTTTTTACTTTGTTGATGCAATAATCTTTAGAGGACTCGGCACATGGTGTTGATATTGATTCAGTAAGACGTATTATTTGTGTGGATATAGATGCTCAATAATTGTAATGAATGTATTAACATGGACATCCCTTCTTGATTGCCTGTATGATGTTGAATACTGTATTCACATTTATCTTCATACTGCACTATGATTTACAGTATTGTATATTGTAAAAATTGCATAATATTGCGCTACTAAAATTACAGTAAAATAGACATGTGTACTGTGAATTTTTTTATGAAAATGCTTGTTTGTGCAAAATTTAAAGCAGTGGTTCCCAGTCTCTCTCAATGCTGGCCGATACACCCCTCATGGGTATTCAAATAAATTTTACACAAGAACATATTCTGTTAAAACCTCTCATATATTTTCATAGAAAGTGGAAGTTTTAGAATTTTATTAGAACAAAAATTGCTGCATTGCCATTAGTTTTAGGTTTATACAAAATTTCCATAGTTAGGGATTTCAATGGTTATGCCAAATTTCTAGGTTAATTATTATTTAACAAATTAAAATAGGATGTGCTAACACAATGAGCTTCAATCACATGTTGTATGTAACCCCTTCACTGTGGGGCTGCCACTTTTAATATTTTATTTGACTAACGGCAGACGTTTTATTCAGCACAGAGAGACCCCCGTAGATAAGGTGTTAATGACTGCCTTGATCTTGGTGGAACTGTGCTAATTTGCTAAAGCTGTATCAGGTTTAATTTTTGACATGTGGAGTTATAAGCCACTCCTCTCACTTATTACTGTACAGTAGTCTCTTTGCTGTGTTTGTAATTGTACCACAGTACCAAAACCATTTTCAGTAATTTTTCTGCTTGCTAGAATTGAGGTTACAAAACTTTTTCCTTAACCCAGAATACAGTTCTGTATAACAACATTGTTTGAATTGTACTTAACTTGATAGTCTTGTGGATTTTTAAACTCTTCATTGAAATTTTGCTCTGAGTATTTGAGTATCTTGTACATTTGGCAAAAATGGATTAATAACCCATTCAGGTGTTTTAAGTTTATTAATGTCTTTAATTCTTGTCAGAATATCTTCCGTGAGTGCTTCAAAATGAGAGCAATAGGTTTCCAGATAAGTATTCAACACTTTGTCTTCAACCTTTATCATTGCCAGTATAGACTTGGAAACTTTAAGGTAGCATCACTGGGCACTTCTGCCTGTCTAGTCTCAAAAACCAGTGAATCAATCACATTCAAGTGTTGGGAGACCAAGCTGGTGCCACCCAACATGGGGAAAGATGAGCTGCCTGTCCATCCCCTTAGGCTGAATGCATCTGTAAGGGACATAGCTTTTAATATTTTATTTGGCTAACACCAGACAATATTACACCTGTGTTCGGTGAAGAGGGTATGTTGTCCACAAGTAGTTGGTAGACTATCTCCCCCTAACCCCTTCACTATGGAGACCACACTTTTGATATTTTATTTGGCTTGACAATTTTATTCAGTAGAGACGGGACCCTATACACAAGTGGTTAACACTGATCTATGGTCCTAGAAACCTTAGTGGAAAAAAATAAGAGACAAAAAAATACAAACTCTCTTATTACAAAATAATATTAGAAGTTCCTAAAATAACACCAAATTGTGCAGTAATATACGAATTTAAATCATTACTGTACTAATATACTGTATCATAAACTAAACTAAAGAAGAATGGAATACTAATTGTATAGTCTATCCATTTGAGCTTTGCAACTCTGCTACAAATTGACCCTAGGCCTCAGTTGCAAAGTTCAAGTAAACAGATGACATAGTAGTGGGGATGAAGAAATGTAAGGACAGGAAAAAGAAGTTAAAAGGACTACTTACAGTACTGTTTTGTACTTAAGTCATTGGAAGCAATGGTGATACAAATGTTAGTGTTCTGAAAACAATTAATATTTTCATGTTATATTTTTAAAAAATCTTATAATTGACAAATTTTCGGGCTGCCTTCTTCAATTTCAAAAAGGCCAACTGAGGGACATGCCCAGGTTGGGAACCACTGATTTAAAGTATTAGAAATTGAAGAGATGGGTTTATAAAGGGAGCTTTTTAATTACTGTACCTGTATATTGTATTATTTTGTGCAGACTATAATTCACTGGGAATTTTTATATACATTGATAATTTATTTCCTTATTTTTATATGTTCTTTGGTAAACTTTTTGGTGATAAATTGTCACTTTCTTTATGAAGGTGCTTCCTGTATAGTCGGTGACTCACACATAAAATAAAAGAATCATTAGTGTCATAGTACAGTCTCATTCAAGATTCTTCGAACACTGCTGGAGACAGCTGGCAATTCAAGGCCGTTTGTTTATTATAGTACGTTGTATAATATAATACGAAACAACAAAACTCAACCATTAATTAAGCAACGAGGAACTAAGAAACCAATCACTGGTCACTTTTACATTCAAACAAACAGCCTCAAGTTGCCAGCTGTCTCCAGCAGTGTTCGAAGAATCTTGAACGAGACTGTACATTGGTAATGCCATTTGTTTCAAATTTACCTGATGGCATGGTGGACACTTGCCAACAGGTAATCATTGGTAACCCAAACAAGTGTGGAAATTGGCCGTAAAACGGTGATGATGATGATTGTATATTAAAGCACTGGTGTAATACAAACTGTCAGTTGTGTTTTATTGTAGCATTGTAGAGTAAATAGCTATAATATATTTGACCATTCAAAATGTGGCTTGATTTGTAAGAAAAAAAAAGTACACCTATTAGAAAGAATATCGGTATGAAAACACTGACTGCAGGTTTCCTTGTTAAACTGACAACCTTTGCTTTACTTGTGTTGTAACTAAACTTACTTGGAGATTGGTTATCTGTAATAGATAAACCTTATTACATAAGTTAAGTCTTTTTTTGGTACTGTACTACATATTTGTTTGTGGAAAGAATTTAGGAGAAAAATAATGCAGGCGAAGCTAATGAATCTGTGGCTAGAATTAGTGAAAACTTATGAAAAGAAAATTTAATTTGGGTCTTTTTATGAACCACCATACTTTGAATAAGAATTCTTTTATTTGATAAAAATTTTGAATAGTTTTCCTTTGTGTAAAATTAATGAGATGACATGTAATGTTTAAGATATTTTCATCACATACCCAAAGAAAAAATATTATTTTTTCTTTACAAAATTGTTGATTACAGATATGTTTAGTTCTTGTGTAAATGGAAGCAGTTGCTTTTCTATAGCACTTTTGATGTGTTGTTTATGGAATAACAAAGGTGGTCCAAGGAAGAGAAGACAAGTGAAATGGGAATGAGAGGGCGATTTTGAGACTTAATTTTAGAATATATGATAGACTCACCTGTGAAGTCTACAATGTGACTTACAGAACACTAGAGTTAATTTTGATAGACTTTATCCTTCTCCCATTGTAGTGCTTCCATGGCCAACTGGGACCACATACACGTACTTACTATGTAGCACATGAAGATATTTTCTCCACTTAAATTATGTTAGTACTGTAGCTTTATTTAATTATATTCTTGGGAAGAAAAAAAATAAGCACTCGACTTTCTTGTAGGAAGAGATAAAACTGGTTACAGTTATATGACAGTAACACAAGATTAGAAATATAAATAATTTTTTCATTCTAGCCAATCCCTTCCTGTTATGATGCAGGGTGGCCAAAACCTAGAGCAAAACACATTCCTTGGTGCAGTCATTTCTTTTTGCTAGTTGCCATGTCATATCTGTTTGAATGTCAGAGTTAAAAACAAGTGTAATTTCACAACTATGAAATGAAGGAAATACTCATTTATTTAAATTTTATTCATAAATATTTTTAAAAACAATTTTGAATATTCATTTAGTAATTTTACTTATCGCAATTAAATTTTCATAGAATACTCATTGATTCAGGTTTAATATACTGGGGGAAAAATTGCATACAATGCATTCTTTCCTGCATGCATACACTACTCATCTTGCCACCCACACACTCTACTACCTACCCACACACTCAGAAGATCCATACACTATCACCACATTACCATGCACCCACTCCACCATCCACACACTTAAAAGATCCATACACTATCACCACACTACCATCCACCCACTCTATCATCCACACACTTTACTACCTACATTTTTATGGTTGCCTCTTGTATCCTAGGCTAGCCATTCCTAGGACCACTTAGGAATAAATTTGTGTGAGATATACAAAGAGTCAGCAGTGTAACAGGCACACCATTAATAAATGAGTTTCATGACCCAGTGTCATCCACAGCTAACCATTACCTCAGAACACGATCCACAAATCACTTATTATCCTGGTCCCCAATTACTGCTAGGCAGACAGAGGCATATGATGTAAAGAAACTTGTACCCACATTACCATCAACACACTATCACCTACACTCACTCACTCCCATCCATACACACTACCATGGATAGGCTATAGCAGCCACTGACATTTAATTACATTTCCATTTGCCTCTACACAATAGCTCACACAGGTTTGCATGCACATGCATACTGTATACTTTGTATGCACCCAGTAATGCACATGTATCGTAAACTTTCCCCACACAAAGCATTTTACCCAACTGCACACACAAAGTTGGAGATGGAATGTTTGTTTTTTTATTTTTGAAAACTATTCAACACTAATTTGTAAAGAAAAAACTCAAGAAATATGTGGTGTCAGCTTTTGTGCCTGTTGTAATCCTTTTTTGTTTCATGGAAGAAAAAGGGTCATGTCAAGTACAGTATAGTTGTCAAAATTGACAAAAACTAAAGGTATGTTTTTCTGGTAGGATGAAATTATTAAGGAGAATATCAAAAATTTAAGAACACTTTAGTCCTCTTTTTAATGACAGTTTTATAATTCAATTGTGTTCTTTTTTAGGATTTTCAGACTACAGCAATATGATAGGAAAAACAAGAAGATTTGTTGCATCTTTATTTGCCCACTGGATCATATTTTTACTTATTGTAATGCCTTTGAAAGGTATTGTAAATACACATTAAAAGGCTGTGCCATATTTTCATTCCACTGTGTGAAAGGTGTTTAGATATTTTGAATAACTTATTTTTATGTATTAATTGGTTATGTCATCCTGTGTATCTTCTTTTGTGGAAGAATATTTTTAAAATATAATTGTTTCATTTACACCTCAGCTCAGAGCATTGTCTTGTAATGATAACTAATGGATCATAAATGGTGCATATAACCATACCATTTGTGAAATAAATATTAAGAATAGTAGAGATACACTGTATTACTAACACAAATCATTTAGCTACTTACACAAAAGTAGTTATCTACTTACACACAAACTATTTACTGGAAACCAATTTGCAGTAACGTGGCAAACAAAATACTGTATAGGACTTATGTTATGGTAAATGTTATTGTACTAAAAATTCATGCAGTAGGGCAGTCAAGGCAACCAGGTAACTGACCATAAGTAATTGTAGATGGGAACCCTGATGGATTGCAAACTGTTGTGAGTTGAAGGCAAGACCAGGTGGTGGAGAAACAGTTTACAGTAATCACTAATTGGATCATGATGGGGAAGTGTGTTTTGCTGCATAGCAATCACTTTGGAAAAAGAGCCTTTGATATCCTGTGTCAATTAATTACAACTTATCCTACACTAAATTTGTGCTTGGGATAGCTAACACTACACACATGGTTAAATGATAATGTGTGTTGGCTTTGGTTGCCACATAATGGTCAGTTATGGGCCAATGATGAGTTGCCTGTCCTGTGGTGAGGGGCAGCTGACACCTGTCAACCAGCCACAAATCAATCTTCACAAAATCACATTTTCTTCAGGTGTCACTGCAAAATGCTTTAAGATGTTTGTATGCAGTGAGAGGTAGCCTATCTCATAGTGGGAGGCAATCTTCATCTCCATCAACCAGCCACAACTCAACCCACATGACTTCTGTATGCTTACAGAACCAAGTGGAAAAATTATAAATTATGATGTAAGTGGCAGGTTGGATACTGGGAAAGCTCTCTGGTTACAGATTGGTTCATGGTGAGTTGGGGGGGGGGGTCCACCTCAGAGCAAAATTAATTAGGTGAGGCAGTCTGGTTGCTGACTGACCCATTGGAAGAGGAGCAAGGGGCATCTTGCATGATGGTTGGTTTATGTGGTCAGCATTTACATGCACTCACATACACTTGGACATGGATTTTGTTTCAAGCATACAAGAAAATTATGTAAATAATTTTTACTCTTATAAAATGAAGTGGCTCTGATGCTGTGTGCTGTATACTTCTTAAAGAGACTGACCCAGGAACCATTTACAGTATGTACTTAGTTTCAGTAACATGTACAATAGTACAGGGTATAGCCATTTTGGATAACAACCACAATGCAGTAGAATTTGATTTATTGACGGTATTACAGTAGAATCTTTCCAGTTCACTGATTAGTAGTTTGCAAAAAGGCTGAGTTTGTCAGTTTCCCTTGCAATCTAACCTTATTTACCTACCTACATACCTAATTTTCTTAACTCACCACAGCTATGATGGGGGGAAGGAAGCTAGTGGCCTGTGTAAGATCCCTCACTGTTCTTGATAATATTATCCTAAGTTATTTTGAAGCCCAGTACTGTTTGTGCTTCCAAAGCTTCTGCTAATAGATATATCAAGAGTAGATGGGAGTATTTGTAGGGTGGCCCATTCTTAACTCCCTGAAATTGTTATATTCTTACGGGATTAATTGCTTCGATAACCGGTGATTCACTAACCAATGACTTTTCCCAGTCCCTATATGCGTCAGTTATCAGGGTATGCCTGTACACATACTAACACTCCTCCATACATATAGAGTATACACAGGTACAAGCATACTTTATGTATACAGACAGCCTTGCATATATGTACAGTATCATTTGAAAGGTGACCTGATCACACTTTACCTCACTCCAGGTAAACTGTGTTCAGGTTACTACACCTTAGTTAGGTTACTACCTTGCTGAAACTGTCCAACACTTTCTGATCTTACTTGACCTGATAGAAGTCTAACTTTCCAAGACATCTTCCCACTTCCTTTGACATTTATCCTCTTCATCTGAGAGTGGTTAAGGTGAGGTACCATGCTAACTGTGATACCTTTAGGGAGAAGAAATGATACTCCACCCCCCTCCTCCACCTCAGAGAACGTAGGTAACCAACATGGGATTTAAATTCACACTGTGGCATCAGGGGATTGGGGAGGGGTGGAGGGATTCTTTACTTAGTACTTTATATGTGTTTATTCATTTCAATACATAACAGATAGTGAAACAGAAAAAGTGTGGGGAACCATATTGTATAGATTTACCAGATTTTAAGAAATTATTAATACTGTATATCAATTAATAATGTTTTAACATATAATTTTGATTTTTAAAATACTGTAATGTTATATAAGGGCTATAATACTGTACTGTAATATTAGCAGTACGGTATAGGAAGGTCTCACTGGACCCTTATTTTCCCTTAACTGTACATGATGAATTAATGGTTGTATGATGACACATCACTCCTAGGGATGCAGTCTTCCATAAAAACACATACACTATGTTGAAGTATTTAAGGTTAGCCATTACAGGTACTCCTCGACTTACGACCCACTCGACTTACGACCACCCGGACATACGACCGCCTCAGTCGCACCAAAATTTTGTCAAATTACGTATTTTCGAGTCCCGACTTTAGTGATTGCGCTGTGTACTGACAAAATTTTCGTTTGTAATTCCATTTAAAATGGCTGGCAAGCTTAAAAAGTGAGAGTTTTGTGGTGCTGAGAAGAAAGAGACACCCATTTTAGATTTTCTATGTGTTTTTTAAACATTTTCGACTTACGACCTGGATTTGGGTCCCTAACCCCGTCATAAGACTGCATGTACTCTCCTGTACGAGTACCTATTTTGATTGTAGCTCATCTTCCCAGAAGGATTCAATGTGGCACAGTACAGTATAATACTTGAAAGTACTTTCCACCTCCACATATCCAGCTAATTTTTCATAAAACATTATTCACCCATGAAGTTCAAAATCATAACTGAAGGATTGCATTTTATGATTTAGAACATAGATGTACAATGGCTTTCCCTTCTGAGGATGTGGCATGAGGTTGTTTTAACCGATGGAAACCCAGAGTCCAATTTTCTCCATTCTGAACATGAGGAGGGTGATGCATGTGCAAATGTAATTGCAGTCCATGCCTCATTTTTCTCTTCTATTTCTTGCAACTGCTCATTGAGGTGCCAAACAGGCTCTGACATCATAAGTGCACTGTTTAAGCATTAATCATTCATTACATTCTCATCTGTAAATGGAATTTCATGATTCAATCCTTATTTTTATACTATGCAATTTTGACAAATTTCAAATGGTGTCTTGTGTAAAATGTAACTACAGTATTGTACATTATATTTAAAAAAAAAATTCTCTCAACCCAGAGGAAGCACAATACTGTACTGTATACTGTATTGTACAGTACTGTACTGTATTGTACTGTACTTAGTATTTGTGTTGCACACTGTTTCACTGGTTGGAATCATTATTTTTCCACAGCAGCAGGTAACTCCATCAAGAGATAAGAAAATATTTACTTCCCATGATGGCCGAGGTGTCTCTAGTTACCAACTGTGACTGCCGAGTTAGTTCTGTATTGGGCAAGAACACTCGTGAGCTTGGCAAACAGTACCTCTTTGACGGTTCTCCAGAGACATGCTGGAACAGTGACCAGGGAACACCCCAGTGGGTCGCTCTGCGGTGGAAGGAGCCCGTTATTGTCACTTCCATCATTGCTCAATTCCAGGTACAGTACTATATAAAACTGAGGTTACAAGGAGGGTTTTAAATGCAGATTGAAGTAAGGAAAGAATCTGAATAATGTAGTGCATGGATTATTTGGTTGTGGCAGGGGCAGATCCAGGATGTTAGATCAGGGAATATAAGTACAGTATTGAAGTATTTAAATTGTTAAGAGGCCAAAAGTCCAAAAGGAATTGCCTTATGTCAAAGGTCTAAGGGATACCTCGGACCTTAAAAGCTAAGGGACATAAATAAGCAGAGCTAAAATAAATTTATATTGACAAATTGAAACATGACAAGAAATGAAGGGTGTATCATACACTCCCATAAACTGCCCTGCCGCTAGAGAGGGTTTATTTGTCAAGTAATAAAATTTCAGCTCAGAGAGTGGTCCTAAGCATAGATGGGTATTTATATGCAATTTACTCAAGTATTTATTTTAGGCACCTGTAGTTTAAAATTAGCTAAACCTGAGAGACTTAATTATAAACTTTCTTTCAGGGCTGAGGATAGTTAAAGACATGTGAGTATCTCTGGGTTCCAATGTAGAAAATAAAAATTTATTATATTGTACAGTATTCAGGTTATCCTTATTTATACCTGGAAAAGCTATAACGAATGAAATTAGTACAATACAGTACTGTATAAACAAATATAATTTCTATGGCAAACGATAGATTATGTTCCCAGCTACAACCAAAGTCCCTCAATTGTTTGTACATTGCTTACACTAATACTGTACTGTAGAAATTTAATAACTAAATCCATTCAGTTTTATTGACTCAATATTATACAGTATACATATGACTATACTGTACTGTACTCTATTCACTAAAACACTGTTGTTTTCTGTATGAGGAGAGGCTGGCATTACACAAGTACCTGTATGGAGAACTACATGTCATGTCAGTAGCTTCCAAGTAAATGAGATAATTTTTTTCTCAAAAACAAATTTAAAATGCTGCTATCACTCCCTAACCCAGTGATTGAATTAAATAAGTGGTGATGGGCAGCATAAACATTTTCTATTTTAGGAGTTCTGGGAAGGGTTGAGCAGCTTCAGTATTGGCACTTGCAGCTTTCCCATTCAGCTTCAAGTTGTGAAGATTTAACCTTGAACCTCTCAAACCACCCAACACTAGCCTTAAAGTTTGAGGTCCTTCTTGCAGTCTTCACACAAAGACAAAGCCTTCTCTTAATGATGAGGGCGGACAGGGGGGTGCCACGTGAAATTTAAATTTGTGGTAAACACATTTACTTTAATTTTGGGGGGCAATAAAACTGATTCAATTGCAGATATTTTGAAAGCACACTAATGTCTGACAACCATTTTTTTTAACATGGCCTTATCTTCTAAGCCCTTAGTTTATCCATTGAATACAGCTTTATCATAATTAAAATTTGAAAGTGTGTGTTTTTCTTCTCATGAATTCTGTTTAACTGAGGTTTTATACACAGGGTGGATTTTGTGGGTCACCAGACACTGTGGTGGAGGTAGGGCAGGAAGGCAGCAACTGTTGGGAGGAGGTGGCACCATGGCATCTTGAGGATGTGGGTACCGAGCAAATCATCCGTCTTCAGCAGCCTCGTGCTCTCTCAAGCCTTCGACTCACATTTAAGTCTTCTACAGACTTTCATGGCAGAATCATAATGTATAAATTGGATGTATTAGGTAATAAACTTTGATTTAGGAAAAGTGTTTTTTGTTAATTGTGTACCGTAATAATGAGTGGAAATTTTAATAGCCTGTATAGAAACGTTAAAGTGTTTATTTTACAGGGAAATCTTGTATAATTAGGTAGTAGGCAGCTACCTTACAGGGAGGTACTACCGCCTGGGAAGATATTGGAAGCATAATGTGTTGTCTAATGGTAGACTCTGCTGCCATATGGCATCACAAAAATTGTGACCAAGTCCCAGGTTGCTGATCTGACTTTCTGCCTCATTTACACACAATTGCAGGGTCTCAATTGTTTCTCTCACCATTGACAACACATACGTGTACTTGTATATTGTTTCTCACTTTTGATCTTTTTTCATTTTTCTATTTATGGTTCTTTATTATTATTATTAATAATAATTATAATATTATTATTATTATAACTATTACAGAGTTATTATTATTATCATTATTATTTTATTATTATTTTTTTTTTTTGCCATAAATTTATTTATTATGAATTTTTATGACTATTATTTATTATTATTATTATTACATTTTTGCCCCCCAGGCCCCGATGTGGGTCAGTGACCTGTGCCCGGGTGGGCTAATCCCCGTAAAAAAATAAAGGGGGCCTTCAAAAACTAAGTACTGTACAGAGCTAACATATGTTGGAAGCCCTGGCAGATAAATAAGGGGAGAAGGTAAGTGTGGTAAAAGTTACTGGAATTAGAAAATGAAACTACCTGTAAACTGTAGCTATGTGCATCATTATTAAAGCAGTATAGTACAGTACCATATAGTCATATGTCTTGTAAGTACATAGTTAACTTGCTATTGTTCTCCGTAACTTTGAATTTTTATGAATTTTTCCAAATTTTTAGAGAAAACTCAGACAAAAGTTAAGGTATTTTACCATGAGAGGCCTAATATTCTCTCCACTGTTTTCATCATTGTTATGGTTCATAATAAGCCAGCAGTGGCCTTGTATTCTGTGTTCACTCCACTGGGATAGTTATGATAAATGCAACATATTAGTACATTAGACCACATACACAGAGGTGTGCTGGGTGTGATGTCAGGGGACTTAGCCTCCTCAATTCGGTGTAAGAGCTGTAAATATGAGGCACCAAGACAATTAACAATACTTAATGTCCTTAATAGAAAACTTCCAACAGTCACAGGGACATCTTATCGATTTCCTTAAGTCTATTGATATTTCCACTGTTGGTATTCTGAGGAGCTACACTCTCAATAGTGCCTCCACCAAATATCTTTAGCTGGCCTATGAGAGCATCTTGGAAGGCCCATGACTTCTATTGAAATTTTTCTCTATGGAGCTTCTACCTAACCAAACTCATTTATACCAAGACTAGCACCCTGTGCTACTCCCTGCCCCAATATATTTTTCCTATGTCATAATTCAAATCATCCTACTCCTTATATCATCAGTCTAAATAGATTTGACAGTGACACTTGTCTGATCTCTCCCTTCATTTTTTAGTTGTGTGTAGGAGCCTATCTTAAAACCTAGTCTTAAATTTCCAGCAATACATTACATTGATAGTTATGTAGTTTTGAAGCTGTACAGTACTGGGTACTTCACTTTTTCTAAAAACTTTGGTCATCAATATACTTATGAGCACAATATACGATATGGAAAGGTGGTGTCACTGCCAACTGTTACCAACTTATAATACCATGTTCTTTATATCACTATTAAAATGGTAGCCTGCTAAAAAAAGAATACAATGAAGTGCATTGGTTAACTGTCTACCATATTTGTTTATATTAAATGGTGCAGTCTCTTTAGTTTCATGTACTGTGTCCAAAAATATATAAAAGTATGATTTTGAAAGTAGATTTTCCTGTTGATCCTGGTGCCTGCACTTCGGCACCCCAGCTACCCTGAGAGATTGGAGCGCCTGAACTTGCCTAGCTTATACTACAGGCGGGCAAGGGGTGACCTAATTGAGGTGTATAAGCATCTCAAGGGGCACTACTCAGTCGAGTGTCCTTACTTGGAGCTGGCGGACGCTCGCCCCACATAGGGTCACAGCTCAAGATTGAAGAAGCCGCAAATCCAGAAAACTGTGAGGGCAAATTTTTTCGGAGTGAGAGTTGTGAACTCTTGGAACATTCTACCAGAAAGTGTTGTGATGGCACCGAGTGTGAGCTCTTTCAAGACAAGAAATGACCAACACTGGAGCAGGTTCAGGTACATTCAGGAGCCGGTGCATGCCCAGTACTTCCCAACAGTGAGTAACAGAGACGTGACCGATCGCCCAAGCGGCTAATGAGCCGATCAGTGGTGAAGAGGATAAAAGTAAAGTAAAAAAATAAATGAATTATATATACATAAACTGGTGCTCTAGTGTTTTTCCCTTTCCTGTGTGATTGATCAAAATTTTTCTTTTCCATGTTTCCACACTCAAACATATATTTATATTTATTTTGGATACGGTACATGAAACCGAAATAATCCAAATGGTGTAAAGTTGTGTGTCTAATGGTAGACCCTGGTAGGGTACAATATAAGGTAAATCAGTGCAGTCCATCAGTTATATCATTGCAAAATGTAGGCCTAAAGCATTCTCATGACATATTATATGTCATAAGAATATATAATTAATATGCCATGAGAATGCTTTAGGCCTACATTTTGTAATGATATAACTGATGGACTGTACTGATTTACCTTATACAGTTGTACCCCGCTTAACGCGGTTTCACTTAACGCGATTTCTCATATACGCGGTGCCTCGCCAGAACCGAACTTTCACTTAACGCGGTTCATCTACTCATATACGCGGGAAGCGGCGCGGGCACGATGCGCATAAGGTCGCCCAGTCATCAAAACATTACCGAGTTCCTCACCCGCCACCCACCACAGCCGGCCCAAGTCAGTGATAGTGATAATTACAGTGAGGATATGGACTTATATGGACTTTGAGGGGTTTGACAAAGAGGCCCTGCAAGCCTCTGTGGTGGATAGTGATACAATTGATACAAGTGATACAGGTGAGGGCCAATAATCTGCCCTCTGCCTCGGAACCAACCCCCCATCCCCATGTGCCCAGCCATCTTTTCTACTAATGTAAGTGTTAAAAAACCTAATATTATTGATATTTCTCTTAATTATTAATTGTGTGTGTATACCATCATAAAGTTAAGATAATATTTTTACTACAACATAGTTGTGTGTCGTCAAAAAGTGGAGTTTGGGGGTCGGGCCAGTCTCTTTTGGAATTAATCCCATATGTTCTGCTGTTCACTTAACGCGGTTTTCACTTAACGCGGTACCCTGTGGGTTCAATTGACCACGTTAAGCGGGATACAACTGTATTGTTCAGCAAATCAGCCCAGCTCAGCTACAGCCACTTGATTGACTTGAATTGAATAATTGACTGATTGTAATATTACTCCATACTCCTATAGTTAAAAAATTATCTATATTAATGAAATAAGGTACAAGAATTGCATTAAAATAAGAAACCGAGTGTCAGTTAATATAAGAACATAAGAAAATAAGGAGTCTGCAATAGGCCGGTTGGCCTGTGCATGGCAGCTCCTGTCGAGAGTTACTACCACTCTCTATCATCCATGAATCTATCTAGCCTCCTTTTGAAACTTTCCAGAGTTCCCGCACTTACTACAAAGTTGCTAAGCTTGTTCCACTCGTCCACCACCCTATTTGTGAACCAGTTTCTTCCTATCTCCCTCCTAAGCCTAAACTTATCCAACTTGAATCCGTTGCTCCGAGTCCTATCCTGCTCGGATATTATACGAACTTTATCTATATCCCCTTTATTGATTCCTTTCACCCACTTAAATACTTCTATCATATCTCCCCGCACTCTTCGTCTTTCAAGGGAATGCAAGTTAAGTTTCTTTAACCTATCCTGATATGGAAGGTTTCTAAGTCCCGGAATCATTTTTGTCATTCTTCGCTGCACCGACTCTAGTGAATTTATATCCATTCTATAATAAGGGCACCAGAACTGAACCGCATAATCGAGGTGCGGCCTGACTAGCGCAAGATATAGTTGTAATAAGACCTCTGCACTCTTGTTACTTACACTTCTAGATATAAAACCCAATACTCTGTTTGCCTTATTTCGAACATTAACACACTGTTTTCTAGGCCGTAGGTCCGGGCTTACAAGTACCCCTAGGTCTCTTTCACAAGTCGACTTCTCTAGGTTGATGTTGTTAAGGCTGTAAACATTATAAGTATTTGTTCTTCCAATATTAAGTACGCTGCACTTGCCGGTGTTGAATTTCATTTGTCATTTTTCAGACCACCCCTGCAGTTTATTTAGATCCTGTAATGCATTTGCATCCTGCCCTGAATTAATTTGCCGCCCTATTTTGGTGTCATCCGCAAACTTGCTTATGTCACTGCTGATCCCAGTACTATCTAGATCGTTTATGTAGATTATGAACAAGAGTGGGCCTAGTACTGACCCCTGGGGAACCCCACTGGTTACACGGCCCCCCTCAGATTTAATACCATCTACGCTGACCCTCTGCGTTCTATCGGTGAGCCATGATTTTATCCAATTTAAAACTTTCCCCTCGATACCATGAGCCTTAATTTTTCTCAGAAGCCTCTGATGCGGTACTCTGTCAAATGCTTTGCTAAAGTCTAAATAAATAACATCGTAATTTTCGTCATTATCTACCTCGAAGACTTTCCTAAAAAACGTCACCAGTGATAGGGTAACCTACACGCATATTCCGCAATTGCTTATCTGTGATCAGGGATCACTGATCAGTAAGTACTGTATTTGCAAATGACTGACTGAAGTTTGGTTTTGCCCCCACAACATTTACCTTGGCCCCAAAGTGGTCCCCCCACTTTCCGAAGGCTAGAAACGCCACTGGACCCTGCTGCCATATAGCACAAAAATTGTGACCAAGTCCCAGGTGGCTGGTCTCAATTGTTTTTCTTTCTTTAACAACACAACATAAGTACATACTGTATATCGTTTCTTACTATTAATCTTTTTTAATTTGTTTTATTTATTTATGGTCCTTTATTAT